AGCATTCATTTCTTTATCATATTCCCTTTTTTTCCTTTAGAAAGAGATTGACTGCAATATTTACCGATTGGGAATGTGGGCGTTGTTCATCCCAAACTGCTTCCTGCTGATTGGGGGCACTGTCCATTCCATGGAGATCATGACAAAACACAGAAACCTGGCTAAGTCCTTATTTCTGTGGTCTGTACGGTGTATCATCCCAGCTGTTTCAGATGCTAGACTGCCTGGGACACTGCTTCAGGCGGTCTTGCTTCATCAAACCATAGAAGTCTGGAAGGAATCCACAGCTTTTCCTTTTCTGTGGAACACAAAACCTCTTTTCCAAAGTAACATGTCCTTATACTTAAAATTTGAAGTCAAAGCATTTTGAAAATATATAAGTTGGATTAATTTAGCAGTATTTATAATAAAGTATATTTTAGCAGTTGTTCCTTCCTTAGCAATTGAACAACTGAAAAACACAGTACCATACAGTATCCAGCTTCTCTGTGTATTTTCCATCTTTACGTGGCTTTTTTATTTATCTATTATTATTACTCTATTTCTTTTACTTTTATTTATTTTTTTCTCCGAGACAGGGTTTCTCTGTGGAAATCTGCCTGCCTCTGTCTCTGGAGTGCTGGGATTAAAGGCGTGTGTCACCACAGTCCAGCTTCTGTATTTCTTTTTTTTTTTTTTTGGTTTTTACGAGACAGGGTTTCATTGTATTGTTTTGGAGGCTATCGGTCCAGCCCGGCCTCGAACTTACAGAGATCCGCCTGTCTCTGCCTCCCGAGTGCTGGGATTAAAGGTGTGCGCCACCACCGCCCTGCAGCTTCTGTATTTCTTTTACCACTATCCTGTTTCTTTTTCTTTCCCAAGACTATGTATATTTTTAAACGCATTGTAAACCTTTCAGAGGCTTTACTTTATCTGAATCTGACTTTACTGTGTGTCTTTTCTGGCCATGTGTCTTTTATCTGCTAAAAATCGCGGCTGTTTTAACTGATGTCTTTCCAAGATGGGGGGTGGGGAGAGTAAGTTTACTGTCAGCACTGGCCGAGCAAGTCTCTGCTTGTCTCTAGTAAAACAGAGCCCACCCAAGAAAGTGCTGCCACCAAGAAGCCATGCTTCTTTCTGTTCTTCTGTTTCTAAAAATCCCTTTTTAAGCTTTTGTTAAGTGGAAATTTGTGCCCCAAGTCCAGCCCATATGTAATATGTAGTCTTCCTGACAGCTGCCTGGGTCCCGCAGCTGTCTCAGTCCCTAAATAAGACACGAAACACTATATTAATTATGAAGCTGTTGGTCATTCGCTTGGTTCCTTATCGACTAGCTCTGACTTAATTATTAACCCATAACTGCTAATCTGAGTATTTCCACGTGGTCTTCTCTTACCGGAGAAAGGGTCGGGACCTCTTACTCCTCTGGTGTCCTAGATTGTGAGTTACTGAGCCTCTGTTTCCCAGAATCCTCCTCGACTCCTATTCCCATCTATCTTGCTTCCCTATTGGCCCTATTGGCCTATTTAATAAACCAATAAGACAACATATGCACAAAAGGACTTCCCCCAACACATAATAAATCTTAAAAGAAAAAAAAAAGTAATGGTCCCCATAGGCTCATGTGTTTGAATGCTTGGCCCTTAGAGAGTGGCACTATTAGGAGGTGTGGCCTCATTGAAGTAGGTATGGGTTTGTTGGAGGAAGTGTGTCACTGTGGATGTGGGTTTTGAGGTCTCATAGTCTCAAACTAGGCTTAGTGTAGCATTTACTTCTGCTGCCTGCAGATCAAGGTCTAGAACTCTCACCTACCTCTTCAACAGCATGTTGACCTGCATGCTGCCACGCTTCTCGGTACGATAATAATACTAACTCTGAAACTGTGAGCTAGCCCCAATGAAATGTTTTCCTTTAAAAGAGAAGCCACGGATGGGCAGTGGTGGCACATGCCTTTAATTCCAGCACTTGGGAAGCAGAGGCAGGTGGTTCTCTGTGAGTTCGAGACCAGCCTGGTCTACAAGAGCTAGTTCCAGTACAGCCTGCAAAGCCACAAGAAACCCTGTCTTGGAAAAAAAAAGAATAATTCTTTTCTAGGCATTGGTGTGCATGCCTTTAATCCTAGCACTTGGGAGGCAGCCACAGGTGGATCTCTGTGAGTTTGAGGTCAGCCTGGTCTACAGAGCAAGTGCCAGGATGGGATCCAAAGCTACACAGAGAGACCCTGTCTTGAAAAACCAATAAATAAATAAATAAATAAATAAATAAATAGATAAATAAAAGAGAAGCCATGGCCATGGTGTCTCATCACAGCAATAGAAACCCTAACTAAGACAGCATGCAATGTGTCCAGCTGCTTCATGCTCTTGCTGTCTTGTTTTTGTGGTCTGTACTTTAACCCAGAATAAACCATTTCTTCCTTAAGTTGCTTCTGTCAGGTATTTCTTCTTTAATCATAGCAACAGTAAAAGAAACTAAGACTCCCAGGCTCAGAAAATAAGACGGAGCGTATAGAGGGCGATGCCCAATATTCTTCCTTGGCTTCCACATGTGTGCACTCACACGTTTGCACTACCCCATGACTAAATGTAGGGTTACCATATGAACCACCAACTCCATTCCCAGACAGACATCCTAGAGAGTGGAAAAACCCTTCTCAAAGGAAAACTTGACATTAGTGCTCACAGGCGTGTTCCCAACAGGGGAAGCTATCCCAGAGTCCCTGAACTGTTCAATGGACAAACAAATATAGCACGCTGGTATAGTGGAAATCATTTGGCAACAAGAAGGAATAAAAATCAACATGGACTACAATGTGGATTAACTTTGAAAATGTTGAAGTCAGTAGAAGTCAGTTGTAGAAGATTATTGTATGATACCATTTGTTCTCTTGAGATGGGGTCTCCCCACGTAGTTCAGGCTGGCCTCAGACCTGAGCTCTCCCTCTATCTCCTAAGTGCTGAGAGCACAAATATGCTGCTGGTTCTGTGTGAGATCATATTCACAAAATGCCAAACCAAGCAAATTTATGAAAACAGAAAGTAGTTTAGTAGCATTGGGGTCTAGGAGAAGGCAAGGCAAGAGGTAAGGGATGAGCAGTGTTTGAGTTGGGGGAATAAGTTTTGTGGTGCTTCTGGATTTTTGTTGGTCAGACTAGGTCAAGCGCCCTTGAATTAGAAATCTTCTTGTCTCTGCCTCCACACTCTGGCATTATAGGCAAGTGTCACCATGCCTGTGGGATCAGGGTTCATTATAGGCAAGTGTTACCATAACTGTGGAATCAGGGTTCATTTTGAAAGTGACAAAATGTTTTAAAAGTATTTGTGGTCATGGATGAACAATTCTTCAAATATACTGAAAATCATTGAATCACATAACTCAATTTTGAATATAAGGTTTATGCATTATACCAAAGTAAAAATGCTTCAAATCTGGAAATATATGCTACCTTGACCTCAAGAGAAAACTTTAGAAGTCTGTACAAAAAGACGGATTTACAGAAACACAGCAGAGTGTCTTCAGGATCTATGCGAGAAAGGGATCAAGTTTCACTTCACTAAGTCTGTTACTTAGTTGCAAAGAAGGAAAGGTGATGGCCTTAACGATTTGTTTAGAGCCGTAGCAGTTATCTACAGATACTATTTTTTTTATTAACTTTTTTTTTTTTTTGGTTTTACGAGACAGGGTTTCTCTGTATTGTTTTGGAGGCTGTGGTCCAGCCTGGCCTCGAACTCACAGAGATCTGCCTGCCTCTGCCTCCCGAGTGCTGGGATTAAAGGCGTGCACCACCACCGCCCGGCTTTTTATTAACTTGTTATTTGGGTTACTTATGCTTGGCACCGAATGCTGTGTCTGTTTTTGCTGCATAGCAAACTACTTGCAAATTCAAAGCTTAGAATAATAACTTGTTTAGCTCCAGGTTCAGAGGCCAGGCATTTCTGGACTGATTCAGTGGGTCTGTGCTGGGCTCTCCCATGTGTGAGTGGGAAGCGTGTGCTGAATGATCTGATCGCTGTAGCTTCCCTGGCAGGCTGATAGTTGACAAGCTCCTTGCAGGGGTTGCTTATGCTCTCCTGCAGGCTAGTCCAGGCCTATTCACACAGTCTGCAGCAAGAGGGGGCTCAACACCAGAGCATTGTACCGTTTCCTATAGCATTAAAAAAAAAAGGCCTTAAAAAAAATTCCTGCTTGGATTGTTTCCTCACCTAGACTTAAAGACACATTCCAGCTCGTGGATTCATCGGTATTTTTCACAGCACTGAGCAAAGGAGACATCCATAGATACTGTATTCACGGTGGCAGTCCGTGGAAATGGGAGGCCTGGGGACCTGGGAACCTACCTAACTTCACTAGGAGGGGACCCTGGTGGGATTGCAGAGGGTGGTGTGAGAATCCTTCGATTTAGGGGGACGCCACCTTAGTCCTAGTGGAGGGAAGACGGGAAAAGGTCCAGGAAAACAGGTCTTCTCCGACCCTCTGTCAAGGTTTCTGGAGAAACAAAGCCAAATTCAATTTCGTCTGACCTCAGAAAAACTAGGTCTCAGGGAGACAGCGTGCGGGACCCGGTGCCCGCGGCGCGATGAGATTTGCCCAGCCGCACTAGCTAGCGTTCCTCCTCATGCCCCTCGACCCGCTCCGAAAACTCCCAGCTCCCGCCTTAGCCCCGCCCTCCCACCTAGCTGCTCCGCCCACAGGCCCCTGCCTTCACCTTCTCCCTCGCCTCTCCACATTGGCCCCGCCCCGCCAAGTACGAGCCCCGCCCGCGGATCGCCTGACTGCGATCTCCGCCTTCGCTCCACCCCCTCCACGCCCCCTCCGTATTAGTCCCGCCCCGCCCACAGCCCTCCCAGCCTCCATCTTCGCCCTTGAACCGCTCCACACTGGCCCCGCCCATTAGGTGCTAGCCCCGCCCACACTCGCGTCTTCCCAGCCGCCTCTCTTCCCGCTCAGCCTACGACTCTCTGGGACCCGCCCCTCGGCCCGACCCCTCCTGACGCCCCCGCCCACGACCCGCCTTCCGGACTGCGCGAGGGGGCGGGGCGGGGGCGGGGCCGGCTTCACCCGGAATGAAAACAAACGGCGGCCTCTGCGGCATCCGGGCATTTGGCAGGTCACGGCTGGCGCGGCGGTGGCGCAGGTGAGCCGTCTGAGTGGGGAACCGGGCCGGGCCTGGTCCTGGGCGGGGCGGTTGGGTGGACGCAGCGATGCAGGCTCGGGCGGGAGCGGGAGGAGGTGGCTGTGGCCCGAGGGTAGGGACCGATACCTGCCGTCAGCCTGAGCTACGCTGAGCGGATCCCTGCTGGGCCCATGCTCTCCCCGCCTGCCTCCCTCGCTCCTGTTTTGAGTACGAGGCCCCAATCGCGCGTTGTCTCTGAGAGGGAACAAGTGTTGGATATGCGCGAGTCTGTAGGCCATCCGGATTGACCTATTGCAGGAGTGAAAGTGAAAATTTCAACGTCAACTCCTAACGTTTCCCTTTCGGTTCTGGGCGCCGATATTCAGGACTTAGGAGTCTTCCGCTTTATGATGTGGAACACCCAGCTACATGCACAAAACCTGCAGTTCTCCAGTTAAAACGGAAAACCGAGCTCTTAGATTGTCTCTCTTTTGACCTAACACCTGTTATTCTGTTGTCTGTAACTAGAGTCTCACTCTCTTGAAGACACTGATTTAATTTATATATACATATATATGTATATGTATATGTATACACACACACACACACAGTCTCACTGTGTAGCCGGGTTGTCCTGGAATTGTCTTTGTAGACCAGGCTGGCTTCGAACTCATGGGAGATATGCCTGCTTTTGTTTCCCTAGTTTTGGTATTACAAGCGTGCAACAGTATGGCTGGCGATGGTGGTTTTTTCTTTTTTCCGAGACAGGGTTTCTCTGTATTGTTTTAGATGCTGTCCTGGAACTTGCTCTTGTAGACCAGGCTGTTCTTGAACTCACAGAGATCCACCTGCCTCTGCCTTCCGAGAGCTGGGATTAAAGGTATGCACCACCTGGCTGGTTTGATTTTTTTAAACATTCTTATGTTAAACCGGGCATAGTGGCTCACACCTTTAATCCCAGCACAGGCATTATAATCTCTGAGTTCAAGGCCAGTCTGGTCTACATAGTGAGTTCCAGGACAGCCAGAACTGAGTAGTGATACCCTGTGTGCTAGCTGGTTTTGTGTCATTTTGACACAAGCTAGAGTCATCAAGAGAGGAAGGAGCCTCAATTGAGGAAATGCCTCCATGAGATCCAGCAGTAAAGCATTTTCTCTATTAATGATAAATAGGAGAGGGCCCAGCCCATTGTGGGTGGTACCAATTCCTGGGCTGGTGATCCGGAGTTCTATATGAAAGCAGGTTGAGCAAACCAGTGAATAGCACCCCTCCATGGCCTCTGCATCAGCTCCTGCCTCCAGGTTCTAGGCCTGTTTGAGTTCCTGTCCTGACTTACTTCAATAATGAACATCGATATGGAAGTGTAAGCCAAATAAACCCTTTCTCCCCAACTTGCTTTGTGACCGTGGTGGTTCATCGAAGTAATAGAAACCCTAACTAAGACACCCTGCCTCAGAAAAAAAATGGATGTTTTGCAGACCTGGCAGCAGTGTTGAAACATAGATGAGGGTTTTGATAGCCTTTTCTCCTTTTGTCGACAGTGGACTGGTTACAGTCTGCAAAGTAAATTATCCCTGCCACCCTCCTTATGAGGTGCAGTGATCCTTTCCTCAGAATTTTTGTAGATTTCAGTTCTGTGTCTGGTGGGTTAAGTGACTGTGTTTGCAAAGCAAATGTTCCTAAGTGCTGATGTGTCTTGCTGTGAGGATCAGTTTGGGAGTGAGTAAAAAAACACACAGTGTGCACTTGCACACACACACACACACACACACACACACACACACACACTCATTGTTCATCCCATTCCCCACCCTGATGACCTGTTTCTCTCAGACAGATCTGAGCATTCTTTTAAAAGGAATAATGTTTATGTCACAACTTGATTATGTTCAGGAGGCTGTGGAGTATTAGCCCTCCATAGGGAAAAAAATAAACATTTAAGTTATATTTATCCATACATTTGTGTACTCTGAAATTCATGTTCTTTAATACGGGGTGAGTAACTTCCTCCTTTGTTTGATTTGGCAAACCTTGAAACACTTGACTACACTTCCCAGCAGCTGCCAGCTCTCAGCAGCTCACCCACCCCTTGGAATAGCTGTGCTGGGGTGAGATGCCGCCATAGCTCCCTCCTATGTAGAGAAGAGAAGTTGCATGCCAAGAGCATGCAGCAAGGGCTTGGGAGACAAAGTACAGAGTCCATTTTTGAAGGCAGATGTCCCATGCCAGTTCTGGCACTAGTTCATGTTGTGGTTTTACAAACCTAGGGCCTGGGTTTCCCAGTTGTAAAATGATCTAGCCACTGTTAGATTGAATAATAGATGTGGATGTGCTATTGTACTCTCAAAAGTGCCAGTGAAAACAAAAACAACAAACTTTGTGAGCCAGGTATGATGGCGCATGCCGGTCATCCAGGGCAGCCTGGGCTACAGAGTAAGACCTTGTCTCAAAACAAGAATAAAACAACAAAAAGAGAAATAGTGTAGTGTTGTAATTTTTAAATTTTTTTTTGAGAACTCCCATTGCCTCCACTTCCCAAGATCTTAAAGATCACCACACCTAGCTGACTCTTTAGTTTCCAGAGTTCAGCTATATAAACATTTATTATTGGTAGTTCACAGTTCAAACTAGCTTTTCTTTGTGCTTAATTACCACAATGCTTAGTCTTTGGTTTTGAGTTAAAGCAGCCAAAGTGTGAGAAAATTTACAAGCTATATATTGGGTTACTTAAAATAATATCTTTTTTTAATGTGTATGTGGTTATGCGTGTATGTATGTCTGTATTCCAGAAAAGGTCCTTCAATCCCCTGGAACTAAAGTTACAAATGGTTGTGGGTTCTGGGAACCAAACCCAGGTCCTCTGGAAGAGCAGCCAGTGCCCTAACCCTTGAGCTGTCTGGCCAGTCTCTTTCTTTGTCTTTCTGAGAATAACAACAGGGTAAGAAATGTAGTGTAGGGCACAGGCCTAGTGTGTGTAAAATCCTGGCTTGTTCGCTCCTTGGATAGAAAACAGGAGTGTAAACTACTCCTTGCTACATATTAGTAAGTTTGAAATAGACATTTTAAGCTGAGTGTAGTAACGTATGCCTTTAGTCCCAGCCTAGAGCTATTGGCTGGTGATCTTCAAATTGAGTTCCAGGACAGACAGGGCTACAACACAGAGAAACTCTTACGGGGAAAACAAAACAAAGCAAAATAAAACAAAAGGACAACAACAACAAAAGAAACATTTTATATTGGCTTACATACAATTAGATACAGTAGCTTAGGTTAAACAGACAGGCACAGAGGGGAACTCCATTAACTGTGTAGAACACCTCTGTGGATTAGGTAATATGTAAAGCATTTAAAAATGTGATGTGATTTATTGATTTACAGTTTTACTTTCAAGGATGGCGCAGAAGAAATATCTTCAAGCAAAATTGACCCAGTTTCTAAGGGAAGACAGAATTCAACTTTGGAAACCTCCATATACTGATGAAAATAAAGAAGTTGGTTTGGCCTTAAAGGTATTTTTCTTTTAATATATAAATCTTTTGCAGTGTCATAACTTCTTTAGTAAATACTATTCTGAAGTTCCCAGAAATTATAGGCACAGTTGTGAAAATTTTTAGAAGTACCAAAACCTTTAGTAATGAACAAATTTAATTTAAATTTAATTTTTAAAGATTTAATTTTTGCCGGGCTGTGGTGTCGCACGCCTTTAATCCCAGCACTTGGGAGGCAGAGGCAGGTGAATCTCTGTGAGTTCGAGACCAGTCTGGTCTACAAGAGCGAGTTCCAGGACAGCCTCCAAAACCACGGAGAAACCCTGCCTCGAAAAACCAAAAAAATAAAAAAATTTAAAAAAAAATTTTTTTGGGCACTAAAAGTAGAACCCAGAGCTTCACACATGCTAGGCAAGCTCCTTACCTACCACCAACCGGCACCCCCAGTCCTATTACTGGCATTTCATTCTTTTTTTTTTTAAGATTTATTTATTTATTACATATACAGTGTTCTGCCTACAAGCCAGAAGAGGGCACCAAATTGAATTGTAGATGGTTGTGAGCCACCATGTGGTTGCTAGGAATTGAACTCAGGATCTCTGGAAGAGCAGTCAGTGCTCTTAACCTCTGAGCCATCTCTCCAGCCCGGCATTTCATTCTTATGAGAATGTTACCTGATTCTCCAGTCATTACATTAGTCACCTTAACCATAATGAAGTAGCTGGGCAAATGAAGTTATAAAGACAAAAAGGTTATTTCAGTTCATGGTTTTGAAAGTTCCTCAAGCTTGAGTGATCCTGAAGCCTTGGAACTTTGTCAAGGGTGGCACATTATGACAAACCTCGGGGCAAAGACGGGGCTGTGCCGCCTGTCCTGTGAAGCACAGCACACGCACTCGTGCACGGCATGTAATGATTCATAATGAGAACAAATGACTGCAAACTAGCCCTGGTTAGGTTAGTGTGCTCCAACTTTTCTAAAATGCTTTACTGTGAAGTAGTGTGGAAGCCAGCAGCAACCTCAGACTCCTGCAAATCACTGATCAGAGAGGTGTGAGCCAACCTCACATCTCAGGCAGACCACCCAACCACACACCTCAGCATTCCCAGCGGTAAAGGAGACTTCTCACCTGAACCAGGAAATTGAAAAGGAAGGATGTGAACAGTTGGCTCCCATAAATCCCTTGCTGGCCTTACCCTCAGGGACCTTCCTACCACCTGCCAATAGTGCCACCCTGGGTATTGAGCCTTTCACACAGAGCCTTTGGAAGATACTCAAACCTTGGCACGTATGTGGTGTTTTTAATGCCATCTGAACTTGCTTGCTATGGTGTCTTGACTTGAGAACTAGTGAGACATAATGAAGACGCTGACCTTATCTACAGTTCCTAGCCTAATGAAGCATGGTGCCCTAGTGGCTTGGGGGAGGGAAGAAAGAAGAAGCCTTGATGAGAAGCTTGACACTTTGTGTTTCACCCTCTAGCCACAGGGGGGAGGGACTAATTGTGACTTTCATCACCAGTGGCCTGGGATTTAGTCATCAAGCCTGATAGCAGGCCTCCATTACAGATATGTAAATGAGGGGCTCTCAAGATTCCTGCTCTAAAGCCCAGGAGCTGGGACAGTAGCTCACTGTTTGAGGCAGGGACTGCTCCCAGGACCCTTGCAGGCCTCACATTGTCCCTCCAATCTCTGTTCTCTTGTAGCATTTGTGGGAAACTAGCCTCCCAGAACTTGTCCTGAGTTCTGAGTCATTGTAGCAAATTGTCAAACATGAGAACCCTGTACTTGGTAGCCAGTCAGTGAAAGTAACCTGGAGACTGCATGCTTGGCACCTGGTGCCAGACATGAGGGTGTACCCTGAGACCTGTGGAGTCGAAGCCTAGGTAGTGAGTATCAGGGGCAAGTGGAACTGTTGGCTGAGTTAATTTCAGAATTACCAGCTGTGGTAGTCAGAATGTAATTGGCCCCTATAAGCTCGTAGGGAGTGGCACCGTTGGGAGTTACCTTGTTGCAGTACATGGGAGCTTGTTGGAGGAAGTGTGTCACTGGGGGCGGGCTTTGAGGTCTGTCTGGCTTAAGCTTTGCTCAGTGTCACAGTCACTTCCTGTTGTCTTCTCATCAAGATGTAGCCGGCACCATACTGCCTGCCATGATGATAATGGACTGAACCTCTGAACTGTAAGCTGCCACCTCAGTTAAATGTTTTCCTTTGTAAGATTGCCATGGTCATTGTGACTCTTCACAGCCGGGTGGTGGTGGCACTCGCCTTTAATCCCAGCACTTGGGAGGCAGAGGCAGCCTGGTCTACAAGAGCTAGTTCCAGGATAGCCTCCAAAACCACAGAGAAAAAGAAAAAAGAAAAGAAAAGAAATCCTAGCTGAGATACCTGCTGTCAGGAGAGAAAAATATTCTTCCTAGGTAATTAGGGTATTGGTTGGCAGGTAGGTTGTTTTGGTGTTCTGTTTTGGCTTTTTGATTTGTTTGTTTTTCAAGACACAGTTTCTCTGTGTAGCCTTGGCTGTCCTGGAACTCATGCTATAGAACAGGCTAGCCTCCAACTCAGATCCACCTGCCTCTGCCTTCCAGGTGCTGGGATTACAGGCGTGAGCCACCAACACTCAACTTGTTTTGGCTTTTGAAAACAATTTTCATACAACCTGGACTGGCCTCAAACCCCTTAGGACCTTGGACTCCTGATTTTCCTTCTCTGCCTCCTGAGTGCTCAGATTGCAGGGGTGCTCTACCATGCTCAGGGGTCATTAGAATTTTTAAAAGTGATTCTTTCTACATTTATTTATTTTTGGGTGAGTCGTGTACACGGGAGTCTGGAGGACAACCTGCAGGAGTCAGTTTTCTCCTTCTCCAGGTGGACTCTGGAGATGGAAAGGTCCTCAGCCTTGGTGGCCATCCTTCGGGCTCTGAAAGTTTTTTATTTTTCAAAATTTCTGTTTTGTAGTGATAAAAATGATATGTATTTCTGGGCTCAAAATAAATAGAGCTGAGCCTATTTGTACACATTAGAAATCCCAGAACTCTGGTGGCTGAGGCAAAAGGATCACCAGTTCAAGGACACTTAGCTTGTACACAGTCATGCCTTCACCACTGGATGAAGAGATGTGTGGTTGGGTGATATGCCTAAGATGTGAGTTTGGTTCATACCTGGCTAGTGATTTTTAGGAGTCTGAGGTCACTGCTGGCTTCCACATTACTTCACGTAAACTGTTTTATATGGTGATATCTTGCTTGTACAAATAAAACCTGTCTGAAGGTCAGAGACTGGAGTTTACCACTAGCTAACCTAACCAGAGAGATCTGGAGGTCTGTACAGACACACAGGAAGTGAGATTGCTGGGCAGAAACTGGATATAAACAGGGAGAAACAGTAACTTGTTCTACCTGTGTGCTGAGACACTAAGGAGGTAAGATGTGGCTGTGGCTTGCTCCTTCTCTCTGATCTCTGAGCGTTTTCCTTTATATATGACTCTGGGTTTTTATTACATAGATCAATCTAGAACTCCATTTATAGTTTTAGAAAAGTTGGAGCACACTAACCTAACCAGGGCTAGTTTGCATTCATTTGCTCTCATTATGAATCAGTACATGCCGTGCACGAGTGTGTGTGCTGTGCTTCACAGGACAGGCAACAAGGACATTAAAATGGTTACTTCCAGGTCTGGAGAGATGATTCAGCAGTTAAGAGGCTTGCAGAGGAACACAGTTCAATCCCCAGCACCCACATCAAGAGGCTCACAACTGCCTATAATTCCAGCTCCAGGGGATTTCTTGCCCTCTTCTGGTCTGCACAGACACCTACATATGCATGGACACATACACATATGAATAGTGAAAATAGACCTTTAAAACAGCCCCTTCATCACTGGGTAGAAAGAATTTTTTTTTTTTTTTTTGGTTTTTCGAGACAGGGTTTCTCTGTGGCTTTGGAGGCTGTCCTGGAACTCGCTTGGTAGTCCAGGCTGGTCTCGAACTCACAGAGATCCGCCTGCCTCTGCCTCCCGAGTGCTGGGATTAAAGGCGTGCGCCACCAACACCCGGCAGAAAGAATTTTTTTTTTAATTTCACTGTGTATTTTATCTTAAGAGGTGACTGATTTATGTTTGGTCCATCATTGATCAAAGCATAGTTATATAGCACATGAGTAGTCTTAAATACAGAAATACAAAGAAGATAGTTTTATAAACTAGATATGGTAGACATGCCTGCAGTCTTAGCACTCAGGGTGGTAGATGTTTAGCACACAGGAGGCGGGAAGTTGAGAAGTTCAGGGTCATTCTAGGCTGACCTATCTCAAAGAATATATTTTAAAAATATAGTAAATATCATTGATATTGATATATGCTTCCCATCTTCTAGTGACTATTTTAAATGTATTATAAGTACACACACACACACCCCAAAACCAAGGGGCTAGAGAGATGGTTAAGAACACTAGCTGGTCTTCCAAAAGCACTGAATTCAATTCCCAGCAACCACATAACCATGTGATGGCTCACAACCGTCTCTTCTGGGATACATGCAGGCAGAACAGTGTATACATAATAAATAAATATTTAAAAAACCAAAGCAAAACCAAAAAAAACTGACAACCAAATAAAAAAGGTTGTTTATTCTGTCTTGATCTCACACAGTTTGAAAAATTAGAATTTTTTGTTTTAAATTTTTCCCATCCAATAACAATGAATAGTTCACTGTTTTTAAAAGTTTTTATATTTATTTTACGTGTGCATACTTTTAATGCATATATGCACCACATGTGTGATTGGTACCCTTGAAAGTCAGAAAGAGGAAGACTTTGGATTCCCTGGAACTGGAGTTACAGATGGTGGTGAACTACTATGTGGGTGTTAGGAACCAAACCCAGGTCTTCTGTAAGCAACAATTCACTTAATCACTGAGCCATCTCCAGCCTCCACAACTTAAAAAAATAGTTGTGTGTGTGAGAGAGAGAGAGAGTGTGCGCGCGTGTGTGCACATGGCACTTTATGGAGGTGAGAAGTCAGTGAGGGACTTGGCTCTCTCCATCATGTAGGCCCAGAGACTGAACTTGAGGCGTCAGGCTTGGCTGCAGGTACATCTCAATGGCCCTAGTTCACTGATCTTTAAAATATTTCCTTAATGTATTAAGGTCACAAGGGTCTCAGTCCTCCTTTCTGTCCCCTGGAATTGTCCCAGTTACTCTCACTTTGCCTTCTGAGCCTATTTTCACTATTTGTGAATGCTTTAATTTCTCCCTGAGCCCTCCCTGAGAGCCAAGGTTGAATCTCAGTTTAGTGGGGCCTCACTTGTCAGAGTCGTGTTGCTTTGGGGATTTTTTTCTCCCAGTGTTTTTCCTCTGGAACTCTGCTGAGCTGCAGTCTCTGGTTTGTCCTCCTAGGACCTTGTTAAGAAGTACTCTGACCGGCTAGAGTGCTGTGAGAATGAAGTGGAAAACATAATCGAGGAAATCCGTTGCAAAGCAATTGAGCGAGGCACAGGAAATGAACACTACCGAGCAACTGGGATCGCCACAATTGAGGTGTTTCTGCCTCCAAGACTCAGGAAAGTGAGTTACTCTGTCCAGTGCATATTGAGTGCTGTAATCAAGTTGTTGGTTTGTTGGTTTGGTTTTTTGAGACAGGGTCTTTCTGTGTGGTCCTGCTATCCTGGAACTTCATATACATACCAGGCTGACTCTGAACTCCCAGAGCCTACTTACTGTCTCTGTCTCCCAAGTACTAGGATTAGAGGTATGTGCCAAATGCCCAGTGAGCTGTTGTTTTTGTAACTCTACAAGCAGAGCGCTTAAGGAACTCTAGGTGTCGAATGGTGATGATGCAGATGTATCCAGGCACGTTTAAGGTAGGCTTGTTCTTCCAAACGTAATCCCAGAAGTGGGGCATGGTTGTGCACACTGTAATCTCAGCACCTGGAAGGCTGACGCAGGAGGATCCTGGAGTTCAAAGTTATCCTCAGCTGCATTGCGAGTTCAAGGCTCGTCCAGGATACATGGAAAACATGTCTTGAAAAACAAAAACAGTGTCCCATGAGCCAGTAAAATGGCTTAGCAAGTAAAGGCTCTTGTCATTAAGCCTAACGACGGGCGTGTTCCTCAGAGCCCAAATGTAGTAGAACTGACTCCTGCAAGTAGTCTTATGATCACAAATGCTCCATGGCGTGACAGGGCTGCATAAGTAAATGTAGTTTTAAAAATTAAGAAAAACACCCTCATGTACAGAGCTGTGTGTTAAGTTTGTACCCTTTCTAGTTTAATGATTACAGATACTGAGAAGTAGGGCTGGAGAGATGTCTCAGAGGTTAAGAACACTAGCTGTTCTTCCAGAAGACCCAGGTTCAGTTCTCAACACCCACAGTACAGCTCACAGCCATCTTTAACTCTAGTCCCAGGGTGGTCCATGCCCCCTTCTAGCTTCCTTAGGTGTTATACACACATGATGCACAGACACACATGCAGGGAAACACCTGTACATGTGAAATAAACGTGAAGGGAAATAAGTTTTAAGAAGTCAAAGCAGACAGCAGTTTTAGAGCCCTATTTAGTAGGACACCCTGCAGAAGTCCATCCTTCCTATTCTGATGGGTGGAGGGCAGTCGGCTAAGTGCTGGACAGGGCTGAACCTACCCTTGGGTAGTGTCCTGTCGCAGGGCCTCATCCTCAGACAGTGTTTGTCACTATGCTTTTATGGCAAGCACTTTGCAGTCTTCTCAGAACCAAACAATGTTGTATATTCTCAGAAGTGAAAGTGGGTATGTGGGCAGGTGAGGTGCTTGCCAAAAAGCCTGTTGATGTCATTGGGATTCCCCAGTATCCACGTAAAGGCAGGAGAGAACCGATACCACAACGCTGTCCTTTGATCTTCACAGGTATGCCATGGCACACCCATATGTCCCCTTTGCCCCATCATAACACACACACACACACACACACACACACACACACACACACACACACTTTTTTTCAAAGGCAGGAAAAAGCAGAATACGTTTATTTGTACTGGAGAGATGGTTCATGTTAGTAAAAGTACCTGCCATGCAAACATGAAGACCTAAGTTCAGATCCCTAGAATCCATATAAAAAGCCAGGTGTAAGGGTTCCTGTTACCCTACCCCTGGATGGGTAGGTATAGGCGTACAGGAATGTGGATGGATCCCTAAAGCTCATTAGCCAGTGAATCAATGAGAGACTCCATTTGGGAGGAAAAAAAAAGAAAGAAAAGAAAGGGAAGGAAGGTAATCAAGACATCTGTCATCAGCCTCTGGATTTCATACACATCACACATGCACACTCACAATAACAGGTACCACTACCACACATGAAATATAAGAATAAACTGACTGGCGAGCATTCCCAGTAGCACCACTCACGATGGCTAAGATGGAGACAGCCTAACTGCCATCAGTGGATGTGTGGATAAACACATATACCCACGCCACAGAAGACAGCTGGTGGTACAGATACACAGCACAACACTAATAGACTGTAATATGAGTAAACCTCAGAAAGGTGCAGAAAAGGCCTGATGCTATATGGTCTGCTTCAGTGAAGAGTCCAAAACAGACAACCTTGTGCACAGAAAATAAATGGTTGTAAGGCTGGGAAGAAGAGGGATGGGTATAGGGCAGGTGCTAAGTGGGGAATGTTCAGAAATTCCATTAAACATTTCCTTGTCTTAAGATTTTATTTTTATTTTTAATTATATGTGAGTATGTGTCTCTGGGTTTGTACATGTAAACAAAGTGCCCCCAGAGGCCAAGAGTAAATTAAATTTGATTCTTGGGGCTGGATTACAGTCGGTGTGAGCTGCCCAAGTAGATGTTGGGAAGTGAGCTTGGGTCCTCTGAAAAAGAAGTATATGCTCTTACCACAGAGCCACCCCTCCAGTGTCATGAACTTTGATAATAAGAGTGGCTGGTCATGTGACAAGTTCCACTGGACAGCCCTACCTATTGCACTCAAGGGACACTCAGGTCACTCTTGTCAGTCTGTGCTGGACTGTGTTCAACATGCTTCTCTTTCCAGGCAGTGATTTGTCCTTAAGTAGAAACCAGAGTTTACCTCCTCTCACAGTACCTTACAACCTCACATACAGGGTAGCAGTTCAAAGAAGTGTCACACTCAGGGACATTTTGTTTTGTCTCTTACCAACAGGACAAGAAAAGTTTATTGGAGACCCGGTTACATGTCACTGGTAGAGACCTGAGGTCTAAGTGAGTATCTGAGTTCTGTCTCCCAACAGGTCTGCCCCTCTTACCCTGGTTCATTGAATGCTCTCAAGCTGTCTTGTAAGCGAGGGAGCCAGCCCCCTATCGCTGAAGAAATGAAACCTGACAGGTGGGACAAGAAAGAGGTCATGCTGGGTTCACACTGCTAGATAAGAGGCAGCATGACTGCCTGAGTGAGACCTGCTCATGGGAGCTTCTTGGATACAGTGCAGCTTTCAGAGGGTTGCAGCTTGGGGCCCACAGAGGAAGTACCCAACTTGTACCTGAGTGAGTGACTGAGGAATGGAAGCAGGAGCCATCTTTGCACTGAGCAGAACATGTTTTATAATTCCATTCTTTTTTTAGCACTAATTGCTCGCTGTGACCTCCAGCAAAGGCCAGCCAACCCAAGTGTTCTTCAGCTGATTGTCTCATGTCTTTAGCTTCCATCAGGGATGCTGGAGAATGAGGAAGCATCACTCATTCAATACCCACAAGTAGACAGTGGTGTAGGACAGCTCTAGTTACAGGGTTCTCAGAGGATGCTGGGGGAGTATTACTCAGATGCACAGCCCTGTGGTCCTCAACTCGGAAACAAGTTTAGAAAGGGCTTGACTCACAGCTTCCAACTTTATTGAAAAGTCATGTTTACAGGTCAATGGGTGCATAGCCTGGGTGTTTCTAAGTAAAAAGATATAAAGTGGCAAAGTGGCCATCATGACCCAGGTCTTCATAGAAGGTAACAAATAACAGATTTCTTTTTTGCACCTTACACTGTGTTTGTTTTATAGAATAGCTGAAACTTTTGGATTTCAAGAAAATTATATCAAGATCGTAATAAATAAGAAACAACTTCAACTAGGTATGTCATAGCAAAGAATGTATCTGATGTATATATAAGTAGTGACTTTCCATTTTTTGTAATTTTTTTCTTGCTTTTCCTCTATTGAAAACTTCCTGGCCATGTTGCATTTATTATCCAAAGTCAATTATGTTAAAAGTTTACCATAATGAAAATGTAAAGCAGAAAAGGACATTACTATAAATATTCACAGTCCTGCTCTGGCTAGTGGGGAAGAAAGACATTTATTTCAGCCACATAGAATATCCCAGAATGGAAGTCTGTGCTGAGAGGAGGATCTGGGTTACTCAATAGTTCTCTTTATGGGAAGACAAATGACCATGAGAGAGACAGATGGACAAGGCCACGTTATTACACTACTAACAGCCAAGGAAACTGTGTGTGGGGTAGAGACCTTTCTGAATGTGAAGAGTAAATGGACCATGCAAGTCTTCTTAGTAGTGAGTCTCAGCCAGGGAAGACAATTTCACCATCCAGGGGACAGTTGACTTTGTGAGGAGACAATTTTGATTATAATTAATTGGGAGGTGGGAGCTGTACTCCTATCATTTACTGAGTCAAAATCAGTGACTGCTGAATGCAAGACAGTCCCCCATCACAAAAGCCCCATGTGACAAGCATCTTCCCAAGATGTTGAGTACTGCTGAGAATGGAGTTTGTCCCCAGAGAAATGGGAGTTACTGATAATGCAGAGTGGCACATGGGGCAGTGTGATTCACAGACCCCGGCTGCAGTCTGCAGGAGGCATGAACAGAACCAGAGATACATGATACATTATCTCTTTAGCAGCCCTGGTGGTCCACCAGGTCTCATGGATCTTCAGGGAAATCCTAAGTTTCACCTCTCTCTCTCTTTCTCTCTCTCTCTCTCTCTTTCTCTTTCTCCCTCTCACTCTCTTTCTCTTTCACTTTTCAAGACAGGATTCCTCTGTGTAGCCCTGGCTGTCCTGGGACTCAATCTGTAGATCAGGCTGGCCTTGAACTCACAGAAATCCACCCACGTCTGCCTCCCGAGTGCTGGGATTAAATGCTTATGCCACCACCGCCCAGCTGAGCACTCAGTTTGTATTTCTAGCACCCATATGGTGCTCTTAATCATCAATAGCCCCGGTTCCAGGACATCCAATGGCACATGTGTGGCATACCTATACACATGCAGGCAAAATATTCATAGACACCAAGTAAAATAAGTCTAAAAAAACTGAAAAGAATAATGTGAAGCAGCTGTTAAGGAAGACACAGATGATGACCAATGACCTTCACACCCACCTTTCACAAAAATCTAGTCAGGTGGGCTTTGTGAGTTCCAGGATAGTAGTCAGGTGACTTTCCCTCTTGCCACCTCCTTTCCCAGGTGGATCTTGATTTTTGTATTTGAATGTTGGGATGGCTGTCATTTCTGAACAAGAAACACAAGAAGAGGAACACTGCAGAGGAGTGCAAAGAATAGGAGTGCAGAAAGGACGGAGCTCTCATACAACACCCACAGCTGTTTGTACGTGACTCAGGAAGGAAACCCAAGCTGATCTCAGCTTTCAGGGTTAAAGGAAGATGTCAGTGTCCGTCTGTGTGGACATACCTTTTTCTTTTGTGTATGTGTATTTCAACATCATGTTTTTAAAACTATTTTTAAGGATTATTTATTTATGTATATGAGTGCTCTGTCCTCCTTGTAGATCTGCAGGACAGACGAGGGCATCAGGTCCATCACAGACGGTTCTGAGCCATGTGGGTGCTGGGAATTGAACTCAGGACCTCTGGAAGAGCAGCTGTTGCTTTTAACCACTGAGCCACCTGTCTGCCCTCAACATCATTTTTACTAGGTTTGTCTGTAGTGTTTGGTTAACCTATTCACTGGACTGGTTCTTCCCTCTTGTTCTGTTTTGTGGGTTTCTTCTGTTCTTGCCTTTATTTCTACTCATTGCAAGAGGAAACTGCATCCTAGAAAAGCAGAAGCTGAGTTAGGTCCATGGGGTGGAAGTCAGGCACCTATGGCCTCTGCTTCACCATAACCAGAGCTGGTCTCACTGTTGACACTGCACTGTGACTTCTTGAGCTAGTTATTTCTCAACTAGAGGCCAGAAAAGTTTGTATATTGGCTACACTTTGGTTTTCCTTTTATGCTGCCTGGCATAGTGCTATCAAGTTATTTACTCAGTGGGGTGAAGAGAGAGAAAGTAAGAAAGAGTGAATGTGGCCTACTGTTCTACAAGTGTGAATGCAGGTTTAGAATTTCGTTTTCCAGGCTGGTGAAGTGCTCAGTGGGTAAACAACACTGGCTACACAGCCTGATACTTGAGTCTGGTCCTGGGATTCCAAATGATAGAAGCAGAAAAGTGGCTCCTACAAGTTGTATACAGACAGACACATGCATACATGCACATACATGCATGCACACATACGCACTCAAAAGTAAATCAGTCAATCAATTAATTAATAAAAAGAACTCCATTTACTGTAGGAATCTTGCCCAGGAAGCTTGTGTGACAGGCAATTCTGCTGTTCCCAGGGAAAACGCTCGAAGAACAAGGAGTGACTCACAATGTAAAGGCGATGGTGCTTGAGCTGAAACAGTCTGAAGAGGATGTGAGGAGAAACTTCCAGGTAGAGGAAGAGGAGCAGAATGAGGCTGAACTGAAGGAGAAACGCATTCAGAGAACCAAAAGGGGATTGGAGATCCTGGCAGAGAGAGGTACACAGAATTTTGACTTTTCACCTCCCCCCATCGAGACAGCTCACAGATAGAGTACCATGCTTCTCATGGAGTTCTCCATAGTATGGTATCTCAAATGTTGTCACTGTCACTGGACTGTGAATTAATGAGACTCCTATGGCTTTGTTGCAGCGGAGATGGTGGATCCGGAAACAATGCCTTACTTAGACATTGCAAACCAGACGGGCAGGTCAATCAGAATTCCTCCTACTGAAAGGAAAGTAAGTACAGACATGGGAGGCTTGCTGGGTTGTCAGAGCAACCAGACGGGCGGAGTCAGTCCCAGAAGCCTCTTAGAATGAAGAGTTCTGACTAGGGATCGAGTTCATTTGAGGGTTTTTGTTTTGCTTGTATCTTTTTGGTATTTAAATGACAGTTTGGGGTAGGCTTCACTATTTGAATTAATCTGTTTAAAATTAAGAATTAAGAGCTGGGTAGTCAACTGGAGAGACTGAGAAGCAAACCCTCCTTTAGTACACAGTCTAAGCTATTGTTACCTTTTGAAAATGGATATGTGAAGCTCAAGAGGTCACTCAGCAGTTAAGAGCACTGGCTGCTCTTCCAGAGGTCCTGAGTTCAATCCCAGCAACCACATGGTGGCTCACAACCATCCGTAATGAGGTCAGGCAGAGCACTGTATACATAATAAGAAAATGGATTTGGAGGGCTCCAGATGGCTTAGCAGGGGAAGGTGCTTGCTGTCTAGCATAACAACCCAAGTTCCATCTCAAGAACTGACATGTTAGTAAGAAGACTCCTGAAAGCTGTCCTGTGACCTCCACACATGTGCTATGACACAAATGTGCATGTGTGCACGCACACACATGTACACACACACACCCACACACTCTCTGTCTCTCTCACAAATACAAATAAATGTAAAAACGTTAATTTTGTGTAGTGATACTGCTTGTGGAGGTGGAGAACGGGAGAGTGACACTGGAGACCCCAAATCAAAAACAAAACCACAACCAAACATGAGTGTGTGGTGTGCTCAGTTACTTATTTGGACAGTCTTGCTGCGTAGCTCAGGCTGGCCTCTACCTGACGGTCATCCTGCTTTAGCTTCTCACTGCCACACCTGCATACTCCTTAGAAAGGCCGTAACAGCTGCTGCTCATCATGTCCAGTCTTGTGGGAAACTAGAACTAGATCTAGACCAGCAGGTGGTAAAAACAACAACAAAAATACCCTAATAAAAGTGAGGAGTTGATGCTGCTCATGATGTCACCCAAATTGACAGTCTAGCTACATGGCTTCAGTGAGAGAAAGCTCTAATTATAACAATTAATTGTTTTTTGCCTTATTTTTCACTAGAAGTAATGTGATTTTTTTTTTTTTTTTTTTTTTTTGGTTTTTCGAGACAGGGTTTCTCTGTATTGTTTTGGAGGCTGTCCTGGAACTCGCTCTGGAGACCAGGCTGGCCTCGAACTCACAGAGATCTGCCTATCTCTGCCTCCTGAGTGCTGGGATTAAAGGCATGCACGGCGTAATGTGATTTTTAATTTGTTTTATTAATGCTTTTCTAATTTTGTTTGAAAGCTGTTTTTAAAATTCCACATTTTTTCCTAGGCCCTTATGTTAGCTATGGGATACCATGAGAAGGGCAGAGCTTTCCTGAAGAGAAAAGAGTATGGCATAGCCTTGCCATGCCTTCTGGATGCTGACAGGTATTTCTGGTAGGTACCTTTGTATTCAACAGCTGCTAGTGTAAGGGGGAGGCCCAGGTTGTTCCTGCCTGTAACTTCAGACCGATTTTCACCGCACAGTGGTTTGCTGGGAATGAGGAGCTAAGGCACACACTTGTTTGTGGGTGTGTCCTCCTTTGTATTTCTAACTGACTCCTCCACTCGGCCATTCATTTTCACCCAGTATATAGATACAGGCTCTGTGCCCCAAGTATGCTGCCACCAGAGCTGTCCATCACACTGTTGCCTCCCTTCTTCTTCCAAGTGGTGTGGGCGCAAATGGTGATGAGCCGCACTGAAAACTGCGACGCTGTTGCTCTTCTGCAGTCACAGCTGGGTTTCTCTGAAAAAGAGTGTTTTGCCTCATGAGCTGTCATTTATGCTGAGGTGCAGTGTTCATAGGAAGAAAGCCTGGCTCCTTTTGCCTTATTTTGTAGTTTTCAGATTTTGTTGTTCCTCAAAGGTTATCAAACTGAGGTTTGCTTTTTTTTTTTAATTCATCAATATTGACTGGTGAAGCCAGGAGTGAATTCCTACTGTCTCAGTACTTGAGAGGTTGAGGCATAAGTTATAGTCCAGTCTAAGCTACCCTGCAGGCACTTGTCTCCAGGGGAGTGGATACACACACACACACACACACACACACACACACACACACACACACACACACACACACACACACACACACACGTTTTTAAACATGGGCTTTAGCACATCTAATCTGATGTGCTTCATATATCTGTGTTTAGATTCTCCATCTTTGGCTGGCCCTGGTGTCCTTTTGCTCTGTTGCTGGTAGTCTCTGCAGTTTCCCAAGATTCCCAGTCCCTTTTTGTGGAAATGGTGCTTAGAGAATGTTATCCGGGCATGCTAGATGCTTGAAAGAGATAAAGCTGGCTTTGGGAAATGGTCAAGAGTAAACAGCCTCAGTGTGGACTTTCTGTTTGGTGAATTCCCATGACAGTCATGCACATGTCAAGAAATGAACACAGATGTTTATGACAGTTTCCCTGCTGCAAAGGTCAGTGTTGCTGGATCTTAAATGTGTAAACCTCAAGATAACTTATACAAAGAGGAGACTTATTGTTGCAGGTGTTTGAAGGAGGTGGGGCGAGGCTGGGAGGAATGAGAAGGTGGTCTGGGCTCTGGGGTCTTGCCTTGCCTGTCTCTGTTGCTTCATCTGCTTCTTCTCTTCTGATGCAAATGCTGGAGACTATGCTGAGTCCTTAAAATTGAGAGAAGTTTTCACGTCTGCATAGTAGAGAAGATTTCAAATGTGTGTGGAGGGAAAGACTGCTCCAGTGAACTTACACAGGCTCATAGTTTGGCTTTAGTGGGCATTAAGAAGTAGTTGGTCTTGATTCTTCTCTGTGAGCCCTTTCAACCTTTTCTCCCTGGACAAATCACTTAGACGATTTTCAGATTTCAGATCCCTCGTTAAAAACAACCATGTTATACCATGATATACCAACATGTCACTGAGTAGCAGGCATAAAGAATAGTAACCATTAGTGCCTTTCAAGTGTATAGAGTCATCTTCCCTTTATGACACACTTGCACAACGTGACCAGCATATAAAGAGCAAGGGTTACTGGCTCGTGGTGTTAGGGTTAGGCCTGCAGCCTCTCGGCCCCCTTGCTTTGCCATGTTCTTCTGTCTCTACTGCTTTATGGGGCAAGTCTGTGGGTGGCTGAGGAACTGAGCTGTTCATCTCAGAGAAAGACCGACCTCTCACAGTTCCCCTCAAGGACACCTCATAAAGACATAAAACATTTCCACCAGGCGCCACCTGTAAAGTTTCCTCAGTTCTAGTGTAACCATGCTTATGCCCAAGCTGTTCTACATGGCCCCTGGGGAACAGTGCAGATAGAATGGCAGAAAGTTGTCTTTCTTCTGTCAGCTTATCTGCATCCTTGTGGGAGATCTCTTCTTCATGAAGGATGCCAGCTGTAGCAGAGCTCCAGTGCTGATGGAGGAAACCCTGGCGGTGGCATTCCATTTTCTTTCCTGACCTTTTACTCATCTTTTGTGCAGTGGCTAGTATGTAAGGGAAGCCCCCTTTTCCTTGTGGGCGCGTGCCTGTGTGGTGCTGCTTACCACTGAACTGTTCCAGAAACCTCTTTTCCTGCTTGAAACTAAACATGAGAGTTTTGTTTTCAGCCAGCATAGAGCAGCAGGACAGGATTTACTCTGTCACGCGAAGGACCTGGCAAAATGAAGAAATCAGCAGCTTCCCAGCAGTTCAGGGCAAGCAAAGACAGGCAGGGCATCACCTGAGTTGAGGTAGAGTTAGGGATCCAAGCAGTCAAGGAGGCCTATAAGTGCCTGAGGTTTCTCTTGAGTCTCCATGGAGTGAGGTAACCAGCATACACATGGAAAGAAACCACCCACTTCTGGATGGAGAACACTTAGAAGTAGCAGGTACAACCTTGGTACCCACTGAGGATCAGGAGCAGTTGATGTCCCACCAAAAGGAATAGAGAACTGTGTGCTCATGGGGCAGCGCATGGTGCTTTTGGAAGGGTATTGTCTCAGCAGGAGCCCAGAAGGTGGCTGTGGTCCCACCCAGCCTAGCCTCAAAGCTTTCCGTGAACAGCAGGCTTTGGTTACTGTTTTCACATAACACTAATGCATCCCTAACGAGACTCAACATTTAGTAATTAAAACAAACAGTGCCCGTGTACAAATCTATAGCCCGCAGTGAAATGAAGAAGGGAATCAGGCAGCTCCAGAAGCAACACAGAAGCTAGAATTAGTCGCCAAGGACACTGAAGCAATAGCATGAGCAGGTGAGACAGTGGGAGATATGCAGAAGACCCTCATTGAAACCAAAGATATAAAGTAGATCGTGTCCACAAGGGAAGAGCGTGGAGTGCAGGATAAGTGTGGCAGGAAAGAAGAGTAGTAAATGTGAGGAAAGGGCAGTAGAAGTCTTCTAACGTGGCATAACAGATTGTTAAGAGGTGGGCAGAGGCATTGGAAGCTATACCAAGGCACATGGCAGTCTTCTTCCTAAAAAGCAATAATAAAACAAAGAATGACCTTTTAGCCAACTTTTGTTGGAAAAAGATACTTAAGTTTAGCTTATCATTCTTGAAGTTAATTCTCTTTACAGATTACTTATACTTACTAGGACAACATAAAGAAATTCTACTGAGCTGGAAAGATGGTTCAGTGGTTAAGAACACTGACTGCCCCAACAAAGGACCCAGGTTCAGTTCCCAGCACCCACACTGAGTGATCCTCTGCCTCTGCCTCTGCGTGCTGGAAATAAAGGTGTGTGCTACCATGCCCAGCTTGATTTCTTGAAACTAATAGAATAAAGCATAGCCCTCTAATAGAAGACCTGGGCTTTGATATGTTTTTGGGTTTTTGTTTTTGAATAGGAATATTAAAAGAGGCAGGAAAGAAAGCATGCAAAAACACTGTTATGTGTGTTCTTGCCCCAACTAGACTGTGTACAATTTCATGGGCTGATGACAAAATCCATTTGATTGGGCTCCTGGCTGAGCACATATCAATGGCCAAGGCGGGAAGCTCATATTTAACAGCACCTATTGGAAGCAGATGGGTGAAGCTTTGGCGTTATCTGTGTGAACTGTGTAGTTGTGATGTTTTCCACTATGCATTGAGTATTAACACAACTTTAAGTACAAATAAATAGTTCATAGCAGTGTCTCCATTCCTTTCCCTGTGTCTGGCTCAGCCTATCCATGGGCCCTCAGGAGTCAGCCTGGCAGTTAGCCTGGTATTTCCCAGACTGTTTTCCCCAACAAGAAAGTTCATGGGCATGACTGTGTTGTCATAGCTGTCATCAGCTGAGGCATTTTCAGGAAGTTGGGGGCTTGGGGTGTCTTTAAAGTCATATGTCAACCTTCTGTGCATGTTAGACTTTCCCAGGGAAGTTTTAGTGATAGGACTCCAGCTCCTGGTGTGGAGAACATTGTGACTTTTGCCCTAATTAGAGCCTCAGCATCAGTATCCCCAAAGAAAAAGACTCCTGTGTCTTGGTAATTGTAATTCACAGCCGAGATAGGAAGCCACTATGTCCTGGGCCAGATGCTACAGTGCTGCTGTTGAGAACCCTAATTTCTCTTTCTATATTCAGAGGATTCATATTGTATATAAAGGTCCCATTAGTTAATCCTAGAAATGGAGCAAGAGCTGAAAAGCTTTCTGGGGACCCAAAAGGACTGAAGGGCTCTTCATTGATGGGTTCCTTCTCTTGCAGTGAGTGCAAAGAGCTGCTGGACACTGTGGACAACTATGCGGTTCTCCAGCTGGACATCGTGTGGTGCTATTTCCGCCTGGAACAACTGGAGTGCCTCGATGATGCAGAGAAGAAGCTGAACTTGGCCCAGAAGTGCTTTAAAAACTGTTATGGAGAGAACCACCAGAGACTGGTCCACATAAAAGTACGTGACTCTGATTGTCTTTCTCGAGCCCACTTAGGGGCACATCTGTTCCTGTCCAGATGTGGGAATTGCTGCCAGAGGTGATTCATCTGGGCAGCAGTGTAAAATACCTATTTCTAAACCAAGACTTTAGCATGTATTAAGTGTTTCATAAGTCTGGCTGGGGTTTATTTTATTGGTTTGATTTGAAACAGTCTCATGTGGCCCAAGCTGTCCCTGAACTTTTAATCCTCTTGCTTCAGCCTCCAGAGTGCTGGGATTACAGGGACACACCACTGTGCAGCTTAGTCTCGCTGCTTCTATGGTGGCTCTTAAAGTCAGTTTACTAATTATGGACCCCTACTGTCAGTCACTGACCAGGAGAGAACCAGTGCTTATTTGTGGCTTGTAGCAGTGGGGACAGGTGTTCTGGCTGGTTCCTTCCATGTGGAAGGCACTGGTTGGGAATGTTCCCAATGACAGCCATGATGCCCTGGACATTCCAGTGCTGCCACTTTGATCCTGTGGAGAGAGGGACAGTTACAGCTGTGAGAGTGCTATCCTTCAGTTGGAAATGAGACAGCTTATTCTTTTTCTCCCAATAACTTTAGGGAAATTGTGGGAAAGAGAAAGTGCTGTTTTTAAGGCTCTACTTGCTTCAGGGGATTCGAAACTATCACAGTGGAAATGGAGAGGAGGCTCGGGAGTATCTCAACAAGGTAAGAAAGGCCACTGGGGCTGCCCGAACCCGCGCCTCGGTGACTCATGCTCAGAGTGACCCATCAGGGCCCTGAACCTCCCTCCCATCCTCTCCTTCATGTACAGCATGAACACCTGTATCTGTGTGGGTTCAGGCAAGATGCTACACTAAGGACACTTCTAAATGACAGTGGCTTTAATTGAGTGAAGTTTCTGCCCTGCTATCTAACGTCTTGAGGTGAGCAGGCCAGGCCAGAGTTCTGCAGGTCTTGGCTCCTACTGTTCCTGCTGGTGCCTGTGCCTCCAGCAGAGAGGGCCAGGGGTCAGAGCAGACCTTTACATGAAGAAGAGACTGTGCAGTTGACACAGAGACCGCCCGGCCAGCTCAGCTGCAGGGGAGAGTGACAGATGCTACAGCTCAGACTCGTCAATTTTTCCCCTTTGGTTTGAGATAGGGTCTTGCTCTCTACCCAGATGGCCTTCGCCTCCTGATTGCTGGGATTACAGGCATGCACTACTGCTGCCAGCTAAACCCAAGAATGTATTCGCTCTGGCACGCCTGCAACACTCAGCCTGCCTGCTTACGCTCGGCTTGTTATGCAGGCAGAGCTAGTGTTATCTGTTTTCATTCCTGGTAGTAGATAGGTTAGATAAGCTTACTTCGTCACAGTCTCACATGCAGTAACTTGCATTGGTGGCCTGATTTCAGGGTTTCAGCCTCGCTAAGTTGCTACTGTTGTGTGAGTCTTCTGTCGCTTCCTGTTTGTAGGCACGCCAGCTCTTTAAAGAGCTGTACATCGATCCGTCAAAAGTTCACAACTTGCTGCAGTTGGGGTTCACTGCCCAGGAAGCCCGGCTTGGTCTGCGGGCTTGTGATGGGAATGTGGACCATGCAGCCACTCACATTTCCAACCGCAGAGAGGTAAGTTTTCACTTCGGCACTCATGAGGCTTGGACCCTTTGAAAAGGTTAAGAAAAACAGTGCAACTTTTTTTCTGAACTGGGTAGGAAAAGACTGAAGAGGTGAAAAGGTGTGAACAAGAAGGGACTCAGATCCGGGCCGGGGGCCAGAATATGTCTGTCCATCCTTCCTTCTTCCTTCCTTCTTCCTTCCTCCCTTCCTCCCTTCCTCCCTTCCTTCCTCCCTCCCTCCCCTTCCTTCCTTCCTTCCTTCCTCCTTCCTTCCTTCTTCCTTCCTTCCTTCTTCCTTACTCCCTTCCTTCTTGCCTTCCTCCCTCCCTTCCTTCTTCCTCCCTCCTTCCTGCTTTCCTTCCTTCTTCCTCTTTCCTTCCTTCCTCCCTTCTTCCTTCCTTCCTCCCTTCCTTCCTGCTTTCCTGCCTTCCTTCCTTCCTTCCTTCCTTCCTGCCTGCCTTTCTTCCTTCCTTCCTGCTTGCCTTTCTTCCTGTCTTCCTTCCTGCCTTCCTCCTTCCTTCCATCCTGCCTTCCTTCCTTCTTCTATCCTGCCTTCCTTCCTCTCTCCTTCCATCCTGTCTGCCTTCCTTCCTCCCTCATTTCCTCCTTCCTTCCCTCCCTCTTTCCCTCCTTCCTTCTTCCCTCCCTCTCTTCCTCCTTCCTTCCTGCCTTCCTCCCTCCCTCCTTTCCTCCTTCCTTCCTTCTCTTTCTCCCTTCCTCCTTCCTTCCTTCCTTCCTGCCTTCCCTTTCTCCCTTCCTTCCTCCTTTCTTCCTTCCTTCCTTCCCTCCCTCCCTCCTTCCCTCCTTCCTTCCTTCCTTTTTTTTTTTTTTTGTTTTGTTTTGGAGACAGGTTCTCATGTGGTGTAGGTTGGCCTCAAGCTTACTATAAAGCCAAGGGTAACCTTGGACTTCTGGCAAGCAAGTGTCTACCAACAGAGCTGCATGCATCCCCGACAGATTGTCTTAATCACATCAGTTTTGAACCGGGGCAGCTTCCTGTCACAGTAGCAGGTGAAGCCAGCAGTCTTCTCTCAGGATGTCGTGCGATACCATATTGTATTTCTGGAAGTTATTCAAAGGTGACTACACACAGCCTGTGAGGCCACTGTGGTAGTTTAGGATTGCCTTCTTGCCTTGAAACATGTCAGATCATAGAAACAAGGTCTTAGAAGCTGCAGTCATTTAACAAGCTCATAAAACAAAGCTTTAGAATTCTAGAGTTGGAAGGGAGGGACCCTGTCATACCCTGTTGTACAGCAGAGGACCCGAAGTTCAGAGAGAGCTGGTGATAGCTGGCAGTCTCCCAGGGCTTTCCAGCCAGACACTCTTCTTGTGTGGATCCTGTTTCCAGGTGACCCTGAAGCACAGCAGCCCATGGGCCACAGAAGGGACAGACTACAGCAGTCACTGTGGGTGCGGGCCCATGGGTTAGTTGTGTGATGACTGTCAGCAGGGCCATGGGTTAGTTGTGTGGTGACTGTCAGCAGGGCCATGGGTTAGTTGTGTGGTGACTGTCAGCAGGGCCATGGGTTAGTTGTGTGGTGACTGTCAGCAGGGCTGTTCAAAAGCCCCCTTCCACAGCAGTCATCCCTGGCTGCTATTCTCGTCATGGTCCCTGGGACTTGCTGAGGAGTCAGGGACTGGTCAGGCGAAGCTGACGCTGTGCACTGTCTAGTTGAGCACAGCAGGAAGCATGCTTGCTGACATAGCATTCCCACCTTCCTACTGCTCGCCACCAGCACAGTTGAGTGGAAAGCCTCGGTTGTCAAGTGAGTTCTTTGAGAATATGATGTAATGCTTTGTAGTTCATAAGTCATTCTCAAGTGGTGGCATGATTCGGTTGTACACATGGTTCTTGTGATGCCACTGGCAAAGGTGGTTCTCATTTACAGTGAGGTGTCTGTGGTTCAGAGACTGCCTTTGAAAGGACAGTAGGGAGGGCCAGTGAGGGGACAGCATCAGTGTAAGCTTGCTGTCAAGCCCGATGATCTAAGTTTTATCCTCTGGGCCCATGTGGTAGAAGAGAACTGACTTCTAAGGGTTGTACACACACACACACACACACACACACACACACTCACACATACACACACACACTCACACATACACACACACACACACACACACACACACACAAACCCACTAAGATTTAATAAAAAACATTTCAGAATTGTTGGGTTACATAAGACACTGAGCCCTAGCACCACAAATATAAATGAGCGTGTATACATGTATGTGTGCAAACACATACATGTCATACATATATGTGCTTCTGAATTATGTTGTGATCTTCAGAGAAAAAGCCCTGGAGAGAGTGATTATTTTAAGGTTATGTGGCTTTTGCTTATACTGCATTTGTTTAACTCTGTGAAGCTGTGTTACTGTGCCTGTCTAAAACACCTGGTGGTCCTAATAAAGAGCTGAACGGCCAATAGTGAGGCAGGAGCAAGGATAGGTGGGGCTGGCAGGCAGAGAGAATAAATAGAAGGAGAGAGAAAAGAAAGAGAGGAAGACGTCAGGGGCCAGCCAGCCAGCCAGCCAGCCACAGAATAAGAAAGAAAGTAAGATATACAGAAATAAGAATGATAAAAAAGTTCAGAGAAAAAAGGTAAACAGAATAATTTAAGATAAAATACTGGCTAGAAACAAGCCAGACATTCATAACTAAGAAATAAGCCTCCCTGTGTGAATTATTTGGGAGCTGGGTGGTGGGCCCCCCAGAAGAAGCCAAAAAAGGTAAAAAGTCAAAGGAGTAAAACCTCACATTACAAAAGGTGGGTTCAGTGAGTTGGTGGTCACTCACGCTGCCAAGGACCTGCTTCTGTCTCTGTCCCTCCCCTGGGTGTCATCTGATCACACCCTGAATCCCTCCAGTTCCTGTGCTTCCTGCTGATGAGCCAGCTGCCCTGGGTGCCTCCCTGACGCTGCTGTGGGCTGAGACCTTTCAGCTCACATCTGGGAGCTGGTGGGCAGGAGATGTTGAGAAGACACTCGTGGTGTGCCACATAAGAGGCACTCCTGTGGGAGCTCAAAGTGTGAGGTGGGAGTTGCTGTCTCAATTCCTGCAGCTCTAAATTTGTCACAGAACTAAATAGAACAAGTCTTTCTTTTTACAGATGTTAGGGATAGAGCCAGGCAACCACTCTACCCCTAAGTGATGTTCCTAGTCCTTGATATGAATCCCCAGGTAGGTGACCTTCCACCCTGACAGGAAGCTCTTCTGCCATGATATTGGAGCTGCTTACCTGTGGGACCTCCAACACTGCAGCACCTAAGAACCTGCGTATTCTTATGCTGGGTGCTGGCTTCATGAGGTGCTGGGCTGATTCTGTGTTTGCACTCCTGACCTCAGAGCCCAAACCTAACCCTGTCCCTGTGCCTCTTGCCACTTTTCTCAGCAGGAATAGGTAGAGGTTCCTTGTTTGGTAGTTCACCAGTCCTGAGATCTTGAGATACCCTGCAGAACCCCAGATTCCTGCTCCACCTCCAACCCTAACTCAGAGGGACTTGTTTTCCTAAAGGAACTGGCCCAAATAAAGAAGGAGGAGAAGGAGAAGAGGAGACGCCGCCTGGAAAATCTCAACGCTTTGAGAGGAATGGGCTACTCCACACATGCCGCCAAACAGGCCCTTCACCAGGCCAGAGGCAACCTGGACGATGCCCTGAAGGTAACACTTCCGGACTTAATGAGCAGCTGGCTGCACCCCACTGGCCTCCTCTGGGTTGACTCTACTCCCACAGCCTTGTGCACTCCCCTCCTGAGTCTTTGTGTAGATGAGGCTGTGAGTGCTGTCAGTTTTGCTGTCCTCCTGCAGAACCAGAATGATGGCCCAAGGCACAGTCTAACTCTGTGCTGTCTAACTTGAAGGGATTGGTCACATTTCAGTGTAAATTTTTGAATAAACTTTTGTTTTTATATCTGGGTTTGTTTTTGTTTTTGTTGTTTTGGATTTTTGAGACAGGGTTTCTCTGTGTAGCTTTGGAACCTGTCCTGGAACTCACTCTGTAGACCAGGCTGGCCTTGAACTCACAGACATCCATCTGCCTCTGTCTCCTGACTGCTTGAATTAAAGGCGTGTGCCACCACCGCTCGGCTAAACTTTGTTTTTATACCTGTTTTTATTTTTTGTGGTACCTCTTGGCAAAGGGTCTTTTTAGAGAAATACCCAAAGTAACAGCGTAGCAGTACCTTGACCTGTCTTGGTCAAGAGGTACAGTTCTCAGGTACTGCTCTTAGGTGCTGCCCTCAGGGGCCACAGATCTGTGATACAGAGATGAATGACGGGGGCAGGGCAGAAGCTGGTCCTGGGAGTTGTCCTCTGGATAGGAGCTCTTGGGCCGAGAATATAGAGCTGGTGATGGGTCTGGACAGATAGACAGGGACAAGGTCACTGTGTGCTACAGGCAACAACCCACCTGCACCCATCATTTTTCCTATCCTCTGCTTTAGAAAGCCCCCCACTGTGTGCGTGTGCGCGCGCGCGTGTGTGTGTGTGTGTGAACGCGAGCGCGCGCCTATATCCTGGAACTCGCTCTGTAGACCAGGCTGGCATCAAACTCAGAAATCTGCCTGCCTCTGCCTCCCGAGTGCTGGGGTTAAAGATGTGCGCCACCGTGCCCAGTTCATATATGTATCTGAAATTCGGATGTAATTTGAATGTGGAGTTCAAGGTTTTGTATTATACAAATATGAAAAGCACAAGAAAGTCTAGCCGACAGAAGAAACCAGTGAAGCAGTTTAAGTAGCTCGTGCAGCTGGGGAGATGTCAGTTATAAAAACTTAACTTAGATCCCCAGAGCCCAAGTAAAAATGCCAGGTGTGGTGGGGCACATGCTCATACTGGGAAGGTAGAATCAGGATTCCTGAACTCACTGGCCAGCCAGGAGTCCCCTTTCCTGCTTCAGGGTACTCTGCACAGCCCACTGTGACACCATATACTCATTTGTCCCTCAAGTAGATAGGTGTGGGCTGTGGGCCTGCATGTGAGATGTGGTCTGCATGGCTGGTAGTTAGTGTGAATAAATGATGTCCTTGTGCTTTCAGATTCTCCTCAGTAACCCCCACATGTGGTGGTTACAGGATTCAGACCCTGAAAACAATGGCCGTCAAGCAAGTCCTTCCCGGGAAAGCATCGACCAAGTGAGTGACAGGTGTATCTTACCCTGGGCAGTGCTGGCTAGGATGAGGAGGAGGAGGACAGGATGACGTGTGCTCCCAGGCTTTAAGCAAGGCCTGCCATCCCAGAAGGACCTAGGATATGTAGTGGGGTGGATGTGGGTAGAGGGCTCTGAGTGAGGGGTGCTTCTGTAGGAGGGAAAGGGGATGGGCATGGTGGTGCACCTGGAGGCAGAGGCGGGTGGTCTTTGAGTTCGAGGCCAGCCTGGTCTACAGAGTGAGTTCCAGGACTACATGATGAGATTGTGCCTTGAAGGCAACAAGGAGATGGCCTGCAGCAGGAGGCACGCTTTACCCACACTCTCAGTTGCCTCTTTCCCATTCTCCACTGTTTATATCAGCCCTGTCTCTGCCTGTGACCGACAGGCTCTCACTGTGTTCCGTGAAACTCAGGAGACTTCCCCACACTTTAGCGTGTCCCACTCTACCCATGGTACGCAGACACTTTCATGGCACTTGCTTTCAGCACCAAGGTGGCCAGTCCTGAGTGAGTGCCCAGCCCTGCTGAAGTCAGGTCTTTAGAGCCCTTTCTGCATGGTCTGGTGTCTTCTGGGGCTGAAAAGGGACTTGCCAGAAAGGCCAAAGGATGCATGCATGCATGCAGCATTCTTAATTATACTTACCCAAGAAGCAAAGTTGTCTTAGCTGTGCTGCAAGGTGACCAGAGCATGGGTGTGGTGGTCCACATGACAGTAAGCTGAGCTCATGGTCGCAGTCCTGACCCTGTGGTCTCTCCTAGCTGGTGTACATGGGCTTTGACACAATGGTGGCTGAAGCTGCACTCAGGGTGTTTGGAGGCAATGTCCAGCTGGCAGCTCAGACCCTTGCCCACCATGGAGGAAGCCTTCCTCCTGACCTGCAGTTCTCAGGAGAGGACTCCTCCTCCACTCCATCCACATCCCCGTCTGACTCTGCAGGTAGGTCTGAGGTCTGATGCCTCACTGATGGCTGCATCCCCGAGTTTGAGCTGATGGCAGCTGTGAGCCTAAGGCAGAGGCTGACCTGGAAGCTGAGGAGGCGTCCCTAGACTTCTTCCAGGACAGGGAGGCTCCCAAAAGCACGGTCAGGGCACCTCTCCTCCTGTGATCTGCTTATCTCTGGTGTTTTCACACAGGGACTTCTAGTGCCTCAACAGATGAAGACATGGAGACAGAGGCTGTGAATGAAATCCTGGAGGACATTCCGGAGCATGAGGAGGACTACCTGGACTCCACTCTGGAGGATGAAGAAGTCATTATTGCCGAGTACTTGTCCTACGTAGAAAGTATAAGGTCTGCTGCAAAGAACAACTGAACAGAAGTAAGCGCTACTATAAACTCTGTCGTTGAGAATGGTGAATGCAGCTCTTCTTTGTGTTCCTCTTGCTTTCCAACGGTTTGGCTCCAAGTAGGCTTCTTCCTCAGGTACAGGGCCCCGGCGTAGTGAAGAGAGGCTTTGTTGGGAAGAGGACAGTGGAGGAAAGGGAATCCCTGGCTCTGCTGTTCCTCTTCTGCCTCCAGGTCTGTACCCCTGACTCTGCCCTCTCGGTTTCCCATTCAGATCTGGGAAGCAGGGAAGTCTGCAGAGGGACGGGAGTCTGTCTCCTGTCCTCCTCTGAGCTAGCCTCCCTCCTGCGCACTCTTCCTCCTCCCCTGCTGTCGGAACTGCCCTCTCCCACCACTGCCTCCGCTGTGCAAGCTCCGCTCAGCCTGTGCTCACCCTGCCTCACCCCTTGACTCCTCATCCCAAGTGCTGTGGCACGAGGAGATATATATAGCTGCAATCCCATACCAAGTGGTAGCGGACACCTTGACCCTGGAATATCAGGGTTTTGTGCTCTTAGATCAGTAAAATCTGTACTTAACAATTCAAGATTGCAAATCAGAGTTTCTATGCATTCTCAGTTCCTCATACAAAGTGAAAGTCTTTTATTAAATGGAAGTTTTTAATGCTAACCAAAGCAACTTACTGTTAATCGGTATTTCTAGATTGCTGTCATAGAGAATTCACTGACAGCTAAGAGACCTCTGAGGTTGAGGTGTTGCTTTCTCAAGAAAGTCTCTTGTTGGGTTGTTCTGTAGCTGGGTCACAAGACTGTCCCTAAAGGGGCCTGTCAGCATGTGGTTGGTTCTTCCTGGGTATGGACCAGATGGGTAGCCTTCTGACACCTAGGGCATGGCAGTAGACAGGTGTGGTATGCTCAAGTGCCACCGAGTTCCTGAGACACACTCATTTCACCTGAAGTCTTGACAGCAGACTAGCCTGAGCAAGTAGCATTGTTTCTTGCTTTTTTTTTTTTTTTTTTTTTACTATACATATTTATTTGTGTGGGGGATGGGGAAAACATGCCATAGCACAAGTCTGGGCATTCAGAAGACAACGTGTGGTAATTGGTTCTCTTTCCACCATGTGAGTGCCAGGGACTGAACTCAGGTTCTCAGGCTTGGTGGTAAGTCCCACTCCCTGATGAGTCATCTTGTTAGCCCCTCTCTGTTCTTTGGAAGTGGATGATGCTGATGGAAATAAACGTGGAGAATGCAATTGAATGTCTTTGGCCTAGTGCAGTAAGTTGCTTCTCGGTTGTTCACGTTTTTCATTCCATTTTGTGTGTTGGGACTGAGTGGACTGTTACTCAAAAGCAGCCTAGAGGCTGGAGTGTGGCTCTGCAGCAGAGCCCTTGTCGGGCCTCAGCATCAGCAAGGTTCAGCTATGACCAGGAAGGAGTGAGTCTCAGCGAGGGGCTGTGAAGCAGGCCACCAGAGTGTGTGCCTTCACAAGTGCAGGGTGGGGCAGGTTGCCTTGAAACTATTGGCTAACCAGACCCCATCCTGGGCATGGTGCCAGCTGTGTTTTCTGGATTCCTTACTGTTAAATGTTGTTGAACACCAAAAGCAAGGGCATCACTGCCATGGCAGCATGTGTCTGCTGCAGAGATGCAGTGTGGGAGTGGGCCATGGGCAAGCAGAGCCAGCAAGATGTCCTTGCCTGCATAGGGTAGTGGCCATAGGGGGGAGCTGAAGAAGGGAAGGGCTCATGGCACCAGAGTGGGGTTTGAGAGAGATTCAGAGAGTCAGAGAGTATTCCAGAATATTCTATTATGGACACAGGTTCTGTTATGGACAGGGTAGGAGGAAGAGACAGGTAAGGGTGACTCATGAGTTGGAGGGAGATGGTTCTGGGTGCACGAAGAGTGTGTTGGGACAAAAATGAAGAGCCTGCTGAGACTTCACAGAGCCCCAAAAAGCAGGTGGGGACTTGACTGGAGGTGGCAGAGCACCCACAGGTTAGAGGACCAGGGCAGGCATGGAGCATGCTTATGGGGGATGAAGTCATCCTGGAGCTGTGTAGTGATGTGTTGGGTTTGGCCTGATGTCATCGATGCTGATCACATCACTTGAAATTGTCTTGTGTTGGTAAAACTCCCATCCGTACCTGTTTGTTCTCCTGGCCAGGCATCTGGTAGAAAGCTCTGTTCCTCCTCCTGGCCAGCTGAACATGTGTCACAGATACCTGCTTCCTTCCTCTCAAAGGCTAAGCAAGCACTCTACCACTTAACTACAGTTCAGTCCTGGTGTGGTGGAGGGTGCCTCCGGCTCAGCATCCAACAGCACCACACACAAGCAGGCCACGGGTGCTGGGGAAAGAGTAGGGGTACCCTCATGTCCTCAACACCAAACCAAGGCCACTATGCTTTTTTTTTTTTTTTTTTTTTTTGGTTTTTCGAGACAGGGTTTCTCTGTGGCTTTGGAGGCTGTCCTGGAACTCGCTTGGTAGTCCAGGCTGGTCTCGAACTTACAGAGATCCGCCTGCCTCTGCCTCCTGAGCCACTATGCTTTTGAAGTAGAAACCCAATTGGTTGTGCTGGGTCAAGGCAAAATATTCTAGTGTTTTCCCAAGAACACTTTGCAAAATAGTGTTTTCCTAAGAAAACACACACAGCAACCTGTCACCAACACCACACTGAGGGAGGCTCCCAGCTGGCACCCATGCTTCCTATACCATCTCTCTGGCAGGGTTCTCTGTAGCGAAGATAACAACAGTTTAAATAAAAAAGGCAGGGGAACAGGCAATGGTTGTATAGGTACAGACCTTTTATCCCAGCACGAGAGAGGCAGGGGCAGGCTGATCAAGGACATTCTGATCTAGGTGTATTCCAGGACAGCCAGGGCCCCAAGCCCTGTCTCAAATAAGCAGGAAAAAGATTTATTTTTACTTTTAAATTGTATATGTATCTGTTGTGTATAGCTGTGTACAGTGTGTGTGCAAGTGCCAATGAGGCCAGGAGAGGGCGTTTTATCACCTGCAACTACAGTTACAGGTGCTTGTGGTAGCACACACAAGTGCTGGGAGCCAGACTCTGGTCCTCTGCAAGGACAGTATGTGCTCTTAACTGCTGGGCCACCTCTCCACCCCACACTGGTGTGTGTCCAGTGACTCTACCACATCTGGAATAGTGCTGCCATTTCTGCACAAGATCAGGTGGCCCTATCCAGCTGTTCAACACCACACCTTGACAGAAAGTTCCTGGATTAATGTCCAGAAATGGGTAGGCACTCCAAGGCAGGGGTCTCCTGTCAAGCAGGCCAGTTGAAGAGATGGTTCCTTGTTCCCTGGCCTCTCCCAAGGCTACTGCTGTATAAATGACTTTAGTTGATAAGCCCTCTTCTCAACCAGAAGGGGAGATGATGACCCAGGCCAGGTATCAGGGCACAGCTGTGGCAGGCCAATAGGCCTCCAAAATGAAACCAAAAAATGACACTGGAGCACTTTGAATGACGTGTATTTGAGTTCTTCAGGAGGGATCTTGTGGCACACAGCCTGCCAATACGACATGACTTTTGTAAGAAGTCCCATTTCCTCAGCAGGGAAGGCCTGGCAGCACAGGCTTCAGCTGTCAGAACTGGAGGCAGGCCAGCCGAAGTTCTGCCTTGGCTAGAAGGGTCCTGGTGGCAAAGCCTTGGTTCAGAGCATGGGAAAGGCACCTTCTTTCACAATAGGGAAGGTCTCTAGGGCAAGTGCATTCCCTGACACAGCCCACTGCACCACAGAGTGCTTGGGAAAACCCAAGAACAGAGAAGCAAGCCAGGCCACAGGTTTCAACCATCTCTCCAGGTACTTAGGCTGGCTGCAGGGACACCGGGGCTGCACAGGCCACCTTGTTGCTAAAGAGGCGTGACAGGCTGCGCTTGGCTGCTGGCCTGCGTGGCAAAGGTGACACCGACTGGAGGCCACGTAAGTCCCAGAGGCGCAGAGCACCATCATGAGATGCTGTGTAGAGCACTTGGCCATGCACCTGTGGGCAGGCAGGACAGCATTTGCCTCCTCCCTGTGGGAGATCCCTTGCTTCCCTGGGGCATTGCGGAGCTGGGCAGGGAGAATCCTACCTGGAGGCAGTTGATGACAAAGGTGTGGCCTCGGAACACCCTCTGCAGCACTCCTGATTGGGCATCAAAAGCCCGGGCGCAGGCGTCCCCACTGCCCGTGAACACTGTGGACACACAGCATTACACTGGACCCTTCCTGGCTGCCACCCTGCCACCTCCCCAGGAACAAGACAGGGTGAGAGGGTGGTGTGACATCCACCTGCCCTCAGAGACGTCCTAAGGGTCAGGTGGGAACATCTGAAAGCCTGTGTGTGTCTCAAGGACCTCTCAGGGGCAGGTGCCCAACTTATGCCCTACTGAGTTAAGCAGACTCCTCTGCCTCAAGTTTCTAGGACACTCACCACATTTTCCAGGCTCTGCCCTGCCTACCCATCACTTGTACCAGGGCCAGCCAGAGCCCACTGTCCTCAGGAAGGAATGTGGCTTGAAGCAGAGCCCAGATCCCATCCGATTCCCTCCTCGGGTCTTCTTCTGTCATAGCTTGGCTTGGTAGTGCTCAGGCATCAGAGCCCCTGGAATCCTTGCTGAGACAGATGGCTGAGTGCCACCCAGTTACTGGTACAGTGAGGGAGCCCATGATTCCTTTTTTAATCAGTACTGGTGAGGCTGGAGATGAGGGGCTCCCCAAAGTAGCCAACTATGGGAGTTCAGTGGTTCAACTACCATCTTACACTGACTTCCCCAGAAGCTACCCCCTTAACAGGCCAACAGTTCACATGGCAGACAATGCAAGAAGTGTGGAGAAAACAGAGAAAAACCATGCGGTGGTGCCTGCTAGCAGCGTGACTCAGGTGGCAGGAGGGACTGCAGGTAGCTGGGGTGGGGATGGGGTAACTAGCTCCAGCTAGGAGGTAAGAATCCTGGGCCCCACACCCTTAATACCCCTAGTGAGAGAGTGCTCCTGGGTATCAGTTCCCAGCAATCCTACTTGCTTAGTTTTAACTGTCAACTTGACACAACCTAGAATCACCTGTCTCAGTGCAGAATTATCTAGGTCAGGGTAGCCTGGGGCATGTCCTGATTGTTAACTGAGGTTGGAAGACCCTGAATGTGGGAACATCATTTCATGGGCTGGGCCCTGAACTGATAATCGAGGAAAGTGAGCATGGGTGTGTGCGCTTCTCTCTGCCCTTGACTACCAGCTGGCTCAAGCTCCTCCTGCTCTGACCTCCCTACAACCTGGAATTGTAAGACAAACCCTGTCCTTCCCCATGTTGCTTTTTGTCCAAGTGTTTGTGATAGCAACAGTAGAAACCCCAAGGCCCCCTGTATTTGCCTCTCTAGACCTGGCTAAAGCCAGCACCTCTAGGCTGCTCCCTGGTCAATTTTTTACATATTCCTGCCTTTGTCTGCACATAGTTGCCCTTTTCTTAAAGCTTGAGGGTGCACAGGGCCCCAGGGAGGGAGTTTCCTTGCTGGGTCTCCTCGGTTTCTTCCTTGCCTCTCCCCAAACTTCCCAAAGTAATGGTGCAGCCCCGTGGGGCTGTGGGGCATCTGGAGTAGACAGGGCTGGGAGCAGAGCCCATTCTGTAGCCCTGTTGGCAAAGACCAGGAACCAAGCTCTGTCATAGTGAGAGGAGCCTAAGGGGGAGTGGCTTCAGGACAGCTGTGCCTGTTGCCACCAAAGGAGGGGGCACAGGAGGCCACCTGACAGTATCTGGGGTGAAGCACTCTGTGTGTAGTTAAGAGAGAGGTTCCTGACTAGGGAGCAGAACTGTGACCACACTAAGGGAGGTAGGAAAAACAACTTCTAGGGCACACATTGGACTCAGCTATCTAGTCTCTCTTCACTTGGCACCTCCGCATGAGGTCAAGTTCATTTTCCACTGGGAAGATGCTTATAGGCCCAGCCCTGTGGGAGTCTAACATCTGCTTCTATTAGGGGTTCGTGAAACTAAATAGGAAGGGGACACCCATCAGTGAAGCTGAGGAGAATGAGATGAAGGGACCTAGGGATGACCATTTGGGACCTAGGAGACAAACCCCACAAACCACCCACTTCGGACACCAATGAAGTGGAAAGGTAGCCAGGCTCAGTGACAGCAAATCATGCCGGCTTGGGAGACAGAAGAGACAACCAGAAGAGGAAGGGAGGGTGGGCAGACTGGAGTGGTGTGGGCAGTGCGGGACAGATCACTTACAGGTGCCTGCGTGGTACTTGAGGGCGCTCACGCCGTGTCTGTGTGCCGGGAACGTGCGCACCCTCTCCCCTGTGTCAGCCAGCCAGCACTTGACAGTCCTGTCTGCACTGCCTGTGTACAAGAGCCGGTCTGTGAGCTGTAGGAAAAGCGGGAGGGTCAACTCATTGGCCTTGATGGTCAGGCAAGCCTCAAATCATTATTTACAAGGCGGGAAACATTGGCAGGACTCAATGGGGAAAAGCAGGGTGACCCCAGAAGGTACTTCCCAGTGCAGCACCAGTCAGTACTGGTTTGTCTTTCCCTTGGTGAATCTGGGCCCAGAAGGCAGAGCGTCCTCAGCCCTAGAAAGCCCTGCAGACCCCAGACAGAGCCACACACTCAGCCTCTCCGCTGGCTGACCCTTCTCCACAGGCTCATTCGCAAAGCCTTGGTCCCCAGCTGATGGCACTCATGAGAGGTAGCAGAGCCTCTAAAGAGTTGGAGGACGTGGGGAACCCTTGTTACTAGTTGGCGTAAACAGAAGCCCTCTGCCAACACTGTTCTCACCCACAGCAGTGCCCCTCCCCAGTCCTGCTAAGTCATGCTCCAGGTGAGGGTCAGGCCCACTTCCACACTCAGCCCAGTAGCGTTTGTTAGGTCAGAGAACCGGTGTCCAAGACTATGAAGGCTGACAGGATATACAGCAGCAGAGACAGTGTGTTCAGACCCTTGTCGCACTCCTAAAAGCTGAAAAAGTCCTGGCTCTAGGGGAAGAAAAAGATTCCTGTCACCAGAGACAGAAACTCAGCTCAGGAAATAGACACAGATCAGGCCTTAGGGCATTTTTGTTGATATTATTTTTGTGAGTGTATGTATGTAAGTTCATGTTCTCTCTGTCTCTCTGTCTCTCTCTCTGTGTGTGTGTGTGTGTGTGTGTGTGTGCATGTAGAGAGACCAGAGGTCACCCTCTGCTGCCCCTCAGGCATCCTGAGCTCATGAATTAGATTAGGCTGGCTGGGCAGCAAGCCATAGAGATCGACCAGCCCCTGCCTCTTCGGAACTGGGGTCCCAGGCATGTGTCCCCACACCAGCTTTCCTACATGGTGCTGGGGTGGACTCAGCTCCTAGGCGTGTGCAGCAAATGCTCGGGCCATCTCCCCAGCCCTGTCTGTTTCAGACGGGCTCTCACTGTGTGGCACAAGCTGGCTTCACATTCCCTCCTGGCTCCCACAGCACTAGGATTCCAGGTGTTCCAGTCACACTTAGCTCAAGCAGGCTCAAGAAGTCCCTTTCTCTGCCCAGTCACTTTCGTGGCACCTGCTCCCTTTGTGGACATTTTCATGAATCTTCTTAGTGTCCATTTTCCTGGCAAGGTCTGCACTGCTGAGATCTGAATGTGTCTCTCACAAAGCACTGGCTGGACACTTTTCCCAGTGCAGGAGAGTGGAGGTGGGCCAGAGCCAGCTGTAGTGGTGCACACCTTTAGTCCCAGCACACAGGAGGCAGAGGCAGGCGGATCTCTGTGAGTTCAAGGCCAGCCTGGTCTACACAGAGTTCCAGGACACCCAGGAGTACACAGTAAGATCCTGTTTCAAAATAAGCTAATTAATTAATTAATGAGTGTGGGGTTGAGGATGCCTAATAAAAGGTGTTTAGTGAGCTGGGCATGGTGGCGCACACCTTTAATCCCAGTGCTCAGGAGACAGAGGCAGGTGGATCTGAGTTCAAGGCCAGCCTAGTCTAAGAGTGAGTCCCAGGACAACCAGGACTACACAGAGAAACTGTCTTGAAAACAAAAAAGAAAAAAGTGGAGACCATAAGACCTCTACCAACTCCACTTGTGAGGGAACTGGTGGACTGATGCTGTGATGGACTGGCACTGTGAACTAAGACTATTGAGGGCTCGATACCGTGAATGGTTTGAAGCTGCGAGTTCCCCCTCTTCCCTTCTGCCCACAAAAAGACATGCAGTCTGGCAGCAGCTGGACAGGTCTCACCTCCAGACAGATGACAGAGCCCTGGTGCTCCCGGAAAACCCGCAGCTGCTCCCCACTCAGGATGTCCCACGCACGGACGGTAGCATCAGTGCTGCCTGTGAAGGCTGTGTGGCTGGACACATCTAGTGCCAGGCACAACACTGCACCTGTGTGGCCCCGGAGTGTCTGGTGGCAGCAGCCACTGGCCACCTGCCACACCTTGGCTGTGTCATCCGTGCTGCCAGTCACTAGGAGCCCGCCACCCATGGCTGCCTCCAAGCAGGGATCACTGGGCAGGTCCTGGGGGGCAGAGTAGGCTAGTGTCAGCACACAGTTGCGGTGGCCTCGGAACGTCTTGGACTCTTGCCCTTTGTCCACGGTCCACGCTCGTGCCGTCCGGTCATAGGAACTGCTGAAGAGCTGGTCATTCGCAACTAGGATCCTGTGGGTAATGGGAAGGGGTTGAAGGAAGCCACCTGGCCCTCACAGGCCAGCCTTGGCACTGAAGCTGACACAGCTTTCAGTCTCTCTCCTGCTCCGCACTCTCTTGACAAGGTCTAGTTCAAAACACCACACGTCACTGTGTCACCCCTCAGCCATCCTTCTTCATTTCTCAGTTCTTTCCCTCTGTGACAAACCTGCAGGCCTGACCTTTACCCTATCAGGGACCGTGTCTCTGGTGCAGGGACTCATATAACACTGTATTCAAGCCAGATACATAGGAGGAAGAGAGGACACAGGGCTTTCTGTTTAAAATAGGAAAAAGCCATACAGGAAGCTGAGGCAGGATTGCCTTGAGTGCAAAGTCAACCTGGGTTACATAATAAGTTTGTGGCAAGCCCAGGCTATAGAGTGAGACCCTGCCTCAAAAAGCAAAACAAATACAAATATCTGGTCCCCTTGGGAAAAGTCCAGATACATAAAGCAGGCTGGTAAGGCCATTTCAGAGTACCCACCTTGAGGGCTAGAAGGAATTTAGATGCCCCTTTGCACCAGACTGTCCTCAGGGAGACACAAAGACAGGCTGCTGTATGGGGTGGGCCTCTGCTGTGGAGTCTGCCAGCAGGTCCCACAGGAACACACACTGCAGCTCCAGGGCATAGACCAGACTCCACGTACATTACTGACAGGGCAGGGAAGTGATGACAGGGAACTCTAAGTATGAGGTATCAGAAGGGGCTTCATGCAGCAGGCAGACGTGCCACGCTGGCAGGGTGGGGGGTAACTATTGACAACCTGTTCTCACACTGCTAAATTCTACAGCCTCCCTGAAAAACACATTTGTCTTCAGAGAACTTTGCGCAGAGCTTCCAAGGGCCTGTTTACGCGTCCTTGTTAAGAAGTCTTGACTTGGCCCAGGTGGTGATGGTGCACGCCTTTAATCCCAGCACTCAGGAGACAAGAGGCAGGTGGATCTCTGCGTTTGAGCTAGCCTGGTCTACATAGTGAGTTCCTGCTCTGTTAAAAGTCAAAAATTCCCATGGAGGGCCTCACCCTCCCTGGGGAAATGAGGGGATAATGGGGGAGGTTGGGCAGAGGGCACGGGAGGAGGGAAGGGAAAGGGAGAGGGACCTGGAACTGACTTGTGAAGCAACCTTGTTTCTAATCTAAATTTAAACAGGAAAAAAAAAAAGTCAAAAATTCCAGTTGACAAGAACCTATGTTGTTCTGAGGGCAACCCTTAGGGGGTGCTCGTGGGGCGCTAGGCTTCTCGATTGTTAATCTTGTCAACTTGATGATTTATGATCACCATGGAAACCGCCTCTGGTACCTCTGACTTTCTGGATTAGGCTAACTGAAGTGGGACACTCCATTCCTAAGTAGGTAGCACCACTCCATGGACTGTGGTCCTGGGCTGAATAAAAGGAGAATAACTGAGCACAGCACGTGACCCTTTGCTCTCTGATTGAGGGTGAGATGTGACCAGCCGCCTCCTGCTCCCGCCGCCATGCCCTCCCTGCCATGATAGACTGGCTCCCTGTGGTGCCTTTTCTGGAGGTGGGGAGGGGGGGGTCAAAGCAATGAGGAAAGAAATTAATACAGGGGTTAAGTGGGCCCTGGGCAGATGTCACCCAGTGTACAGTTGGGATCCTAGGCCATCAAAGGATGGTGTGCAGGACTCTCACACACATAGCCTAGCTCTAAAAACAGAAATGGGTTCCAGCCCCCCCCCCTTTTTGGGAACACAGTCATCCAAGTATGTCCTTGGTGTTATGGACTTGGAAGAGCCAGCCACTGATGGAAAATAGTGTATGTACGTGTGTGTTTGTATATGCTGTCTGTGAATGTGGACTGGACACACAAAGTGTGTACAAATGGACATGTGTGTGTGTGTGTGCGCGTGTGTATGCTTGATGCATCTCAGTTATGTGTTGAGTATATGTATGTTTATATGAATGCTCTTGTTCATATATGTACATTTGCATATATGCTATATGTATGTATCCATGTATATCTTTGTGCTGTGTTGTGTATATTATCTTTGTGTGGGCATGGATACTATATAGAGCATAGTTGTTTAGAGAAGCTTGTGACAGTTCTCTGGTCAGCAGCCTGAGGACAAGCTGGTCATCTGAGGGCATCTAGGTGGACTCTCACCCACCTAGGTTGGCTTCTAATTGTTGGATGCCTGTTTCTGGTTTTGGTAAGACAGTTGTTTGTGTGTGTGTTTGCGGGGGCAGCGATTCTGAGACAGGGTCTCCTCTAAGCCAGGCTGATCTGGAGCTCATTCTGTAGCCCAGGCTGGCCTTGAAGTCATGGAACTTGCACTACCTCAGTTTCCCACGTTCTGGGACAACAGACACAAGTTACCATGCCCGGCCAATGACAGACATCTTACTGGGAAAAGGCCAGTTTGAACTGTGAGAACTGAATTATCCTTCTAGATCTACCATCTCCTGCAGACACCTTCAGACTATGGACCCACCTGTGATGTGGCCTCTGGAGCCAGGGTTAGCTTGAGTAGCTAATCTGCCTGTCTGGAGGCCCACACAGTCCCCTGGCTGCATAATGTCATCTCCTCTGTGTCCACAAAGAAAGGCTCTTGGGTCTTTCTCAAGTAGGGCCCCTCCTATCAACGCGACTTCAAGGATCCCTATGCTAGGCATCTACTTGGGACTTGGGAGCCCAGGACAACTATTGTGTGTCATAAAAATAACATTAAGTTGATCTGGCCAGCAAACGAATTTCCACTGCTCAGATCCAAAAAAACTCAGATCCTGAACACCACTAGGAGACCTTCAGCAGCCACACAAAAGGGAGTTGAAAACACCCCGTCTGCATCCTCCTCCTCCTCTGAGCCGTGCTCTACCATTGGTGCCGTGTAAGCAGTCTCCTCTGGAATCTGCTCCCACCAGGGGTGCTGTGGTTCCCACACTTTCCCACACCCAGAGGGGCAGTCAGGGCTGTGGCTCCCGGAGGAGTACACACTAATGTGTGAATGACGCCTCTTTCCCTTGTCTCCTCTGCCCAAAGTCTCTGCTGCCACAAGCAGCAGCTACACTGTTCAGGGCCAGTCCCACATGTCTGTCTTCCTTCCCCATGTCGCCAGGCTTGGCTGACCTGTTCACGATGGACGTGTGCCCTCGGTACACCTGCAGACACTGCCCGGTCCTGACATCCCATCTCCGGATGGTACAGTCGGCACTGCAGGTGAACGCAGCTTCATCCTCCAGCTGGCAGAAGGTCACATAGCTCTCATGACCTACAACAGAGAGGAAGTGTGAGCTGGCCACGTTCCAGCTCTTGTTTCCCTATGTGTGCAAGCAGATAAGAGAGCAGGAGAGCGTGAGCAGCTGAGACAAGTCTGGAAGAGACTACCCCTCCCCTCTCCCCTACAGACCGGGATCTTACTTTGTAGCCCAGGCTAGGCTTGAACTCACAATCCTTCTGCCTCAGCCTCCAGGGTGTGCTCCAGATCCCAGAAGCAAATCTCCATGTTCAGTGAGACTTTTGTGACTTTTTTTTTTTTTTTTTTTTTGGTTTTTTCGAGACAGGGTTTCTCTGTGGCTTTGGAGGCTGTCCTGGAACTCCCTTGGTAGTCCAGGCTGGTCTCAAACTTACAGAGATCCGCCTGCCTCTGCCTCCCGAGTGCTGGGATTAGAGGTCCCAGCTAGAGACTTTTGTGACTTTTAAACACCCCCTGTCTCTCTCTGTGTACCAGATATATACACACACCTGCTCTACCACTCTCTGTGAGTTCCCGTGAGTCTCTCTCACTGAACCTGGAGCTAGGCTGAATGAACCCCAGTCTCCATCTTTCACAGCATTAGTTACAGGTTACAGTAGTTTGCAAAAAACCACCCTCAGATTTTTACATGGGGATCTGAACTCAGGTCCTCAAACTTGAGCAGCAAGCACTCTGATCTATTGAGCCATCTCCCCAGGGATCTGCTTCCTCATTATTTTGAGGCTTTTTCGTGTAGCCCAGGCTGGCCTTGAGCTCCTGATTCTCCTGAATCAACCCCCCACCATTGGGATTAAAAGCATGTGTCACCACACCCAGATCTTTAATCGCATTTGAGAATTTCTACTTCATAGCTAGAGTCAAGCAGACAGGAATTTTAGCAATCTCTCAGACAGGATCAAGCTGATTAACTTTTCTTTTAGGTCCTGGTTTAAGCTTAGCTTGGAAGAGCTTGACTTCCTGGATTCTAAGAAAAAGAATCGTAATAAAAGCTCTCAGTCTTCTGGGAGAGCACTTGCCAGGCTGCTTTGAAAACAATGTGAGGATTAAGTAAACCCTTAAGAAATGGCAGACTGTGTTTCCCTGAATACACAAGTTGATGAAAAAGCTGAGGGCAAATCTGTTTGGCAAAACACAGCCCAGATTTTTTGCCAGAGCTTATAAATATTTCTTAAAGTTGTCAACAAACTTCCCTTGAGACCAATCTGCCTCACTCTCCCCAAAGCCTCTTAGGAGCCGAGGTACCCCAAGAAAGGCAGCTAAGATGTGTCAGATGTACCAGGCACTGGCATGGGCATGGCTCCAGCCTCCCTAGTGACTCTGTACCTCCCATGCCCCCTAATAACCCTGGGTGGGCTTCGCCACCCATCGCCCCTAAGGACCGTGAGCCAAGGCTGGCTGAGGCCCACATCAGCTGCTCCTGCAGCACCCAGCTGCTGACACCCCATCTACACAACGGGTCAAGTGCAGGAGCGAACTGTAAGTTGAAGGATGGAGAAACACTTGAGACCACGTGTAGCTATTGAGTCATGGCAGCCTGACTTTGTGGAGCCCGCAGACGAGGCTGCTGAGGTGCTGAGGTGTGGAGGGCTCTTTATGGCACATTAGGAAGAGAGGGACTGAACACACAGATGGAAAAGAAAAGAGGCAATAAACGAAAGAACCAGTTTTCAATGCAAAACATCCTCACCTCTCACTGCAAGCCAGGTTGACCTAGCAGGCCCTGCCCTCTGCAGCCAGGTACTGAGCTAAGTAAGACTCCCACAGCACCCAGGACTCTACTAAAGGTAAGCCCTCTCCAGTCCCTATAGCTCACAACCCATTCATGGGTCAGAGACTGCCTGCAGAGGGCCTGGACTCGGCTATGTCTGTTGCCTTACCCATTCCCCCAAATCCCCACCCCACCTCAGTACACTGTAACCAGTGCCACCAGAAGACAGATGGGCCAGACCCAGGGCTGGTGGGGTCACCACAGAGGGTGGGAGGAGCTGTGTCTGCCAGCTCTGGGCCCATCACCTCCAGGGACCTTGGCTTTCTGCTGTTGGAATTGTGCAGAATAAGCAAAAAACGCTGAGCTTCAAGTAAATATTTTTGAGGGGATAAAGAATGCAGATAAGATGCATGCACAAGAGCAGGCCTCGGGGCTCCTGCTGAGCCTCGGTCCTCGCCTCCCTAGGCACTGAGGGCTTGCCAAGATGTGCTGTTCCTCCGCACGCAGGAAGAGCAGCCCAGGACCCAGGGCTGCAGGGTACCCCAACCACAGCGAGCATGAAACAAGGCCTCTTTTCCCGTTCAGTGCCCCAGGGTCACACAATAAAGCACTTGGTGACGGGGTGGCACTACGCAGTAACACTTCCTTACCCCACTCTCAGAGAACAAGCAGGGGTTGTGATCTGTAGAGAAAGGTGCACTTGTCAGGTGACCTCTGGTCCTCCCACTCCCAAAGATTTCACACAGTGGGAGACTTTGGGCCAAAATGTTTCTCTGGGCTCTGACACACAGGGCAGCTGTGGCCCTCTGGTCTAGGTCTCCTTGCCCCAGAGGAACACTCTCTACAGCTGTAGCCAGGCTGCTGTGACAGGTCTCCCTGGCTCCACTTTATTTATACTCTGTCCATTTGGTATCGTTCCCTTCTCAGAGGCTTGTGAATCACCTGCATAAAGGGAGCCAGGAGCCCCTCAGCAGGTGACATCCGGCACTCAGAAATGCCACAGTGGACATTGTCAAAAAGCACCATGGTCTATCTGCAGGCTGTCACTCAGAACTGAGAACCACATCAGGGTTCCTGGGTTTCTGTGTGAGAATCCGGCCCACTTGTCCCCAGCCATGTAAGACATGGCCTACTCCCTCAGCTGCAGCCCCGCATGGCCCCCGCAGCCTCACTCACCACTCTGTCACCTCTCCTTTAGCCTTCTGACAGACAACAGGGAGCCTACCACTCAACCAACAGTGGCCTCCGAAGTGCTGTCATTAAAACAGATGACATCTTCACGGAATTCTTGAGAAAATATTGATTTGCCTATGTTAGCGGCCCTCCAAGTACTACTCTATGCCGTTAGGGGCTGGACAGACAGCTCAACAGGTAAGACATGCATGCAGGCAAAACATTCACACACATAAGATAAAAAACTAAAAATAAATTTTAAATGAATGAGTTGTTAGTCACAAGAAAAAAAAACAGGGTACCTTATCTCATTCAGTCCTTACCTATATGCTTTTTTCCCTGACTCTCTCAAGGTTAGCAGCCAACACTTTGCCTGGCCCTGTCGCAGGAGAGTGCCCTCTGGAGCTTGCAACTGTGCGTGGCTCAGAGCATGCTGAGAACAAAGAAGGGTGTGGAGCATCCACAGTGGGCTAGAGCCTTAAGGCCAAGTCCCTCACTCCATCCAGAACCAAACAGGGCTGCACAGACATCCCAGGTCAGGATCCAGTGTCATCAAAGACATGGATTTCCACAGTGGGATCTTTTTTTTAAGATTTATTTATTTATTATGTACACAGTGTTCTGTCTACATGTATCCCTGCAGGCCAGAATAGGGCACCAGATCTCATTACAGATGGTTGTGAGCCACCATGTGGTTGCTGGGAATTGAACTCAGGACCTCTGGAAAAGCAGTCAATGCTCTTAACCTCTGAGCCATCTCTCCAGCCCCCCATAATCAGGATCTTATACTAGGAGAAAAAAAAGTGTCTTTGTCCCTTTTGTCCTGGCACAGTTTTGAATGCTAGAGTCTTAACCCTGGTAAGAACAGCCTTGGAGGGTAATCTCCAACAGTTTCTCCTTCAATGAGGCAGCTCTCCACTGGGCCAGGTCAGGAATCCCTCTCTGAAAAGTTGTGTTAGATTGTGTGACTGACCACACAGCTGACAGGGCCACTAAAGCAGGTGTGAAGGACGCTAGGTGCCCGTCAGAGCTGGGCTCAAGGATGGGCCCTGGAAACTAGGCAAGACTCAGAGCTGTCTCGGGATAAGCCACTGGGCCAGAACCAGCCTGGGAAGCCCAGACTCTCTGAGGAGAAGCCTCCCTGACAAACAGGAGTCCCACTGGAGCCATGGGCGTAAGCCCTCCACAAACAGGCTAGCTGTGTACTACAGCCACCAAGAGTCTGATGAAACAGCAGTGGGAAACACCAGCCACGCCTGGCATGGTGTAGGGACTCAATTCCAGGTATCTGGAGATGGAGACTGGAGGATCAGGAATTTAAGATTAAAAGGTGAGTGTTCTGGCTGGTTTTATGTCAGTTTGACACTAGCTGAAGTCATCTGAGAGAAGGAATCTCAATTAAGAAAATGCCTCCAAAAGATCAGACTGTAGGCAAGTCTATAGGGCTTCTTAGTTAGTGATTGATAGGGGAGGGCCTAGCCCATTGTGGAGGGCACCATCCTTGGGCTGGTGGTCCTGTGTTCTATACAAAATCAGGCTGAACAATCCATGGAGAGCAAGCCAGTAAGCAGCACTCCTTCATGACCTCTGCATCAGCTCCTACCTCCAGGTTCCTGCCATGCTTGAGTTCCTGTCCTGACTCCTTCAGAGATACACAGTGCTGTAGAAACAGAAGCCTACTAAACCCTTGCCTCCTCAGCTTGCTTTTGATTGTGTTGTTTCAATACTACAATAATAACCCAACTAAGACAATGAGTTTGAAACTTGAGGGTGACATGAAACACTCCCTGCCTTAAGAAACCAAAATCTCAACTGGGTGGTGGTGGCACACACCTTTAGTCCCAGCACTCAAGAGGCAGAGGTAGGTGGATCTTTTCGAGTTCGAGGCCAGCCTACAGAGTAAGTAAGTTCCAGGACAGCCAGGGCTACACAGAGAAACCTGTCTTGAAAAAAAAAAAACAACAACAAAACCAAACAAACAAAAGACCCCACAAAGAAAAAGAAACCAAAGTCAAACAAAAAGGCAATTCCAAGGTTCTCTGGGGAATGCTTGGAGCCAGGCCCAAGAACCTGCACTCCTGAAACCCCCAGGAGTTTCTTTGGGAAACAATACATGTTTTACTTATGCTAACAGCTCTCCTATGTAGGGTTGTCAGTGAGTGCTGGCTGTGCGGGGAGGAATGTGGACCAGTTTGTAGCCAACTCCCCATCTTCACACCAGTTCCCAGGTGCCTGTCAATTCAGGGTTCCTCCCTTTGAGGCCATGAGCTAGCTACCTTATTCTGTTTTCACTCAACGCTGATAGTGTGGGAATGAAGCAGTTTTGAGGCTAGCATTCTGTCTTGCTGGAAGGGCTGGAGCCAGGCCACCCAGCATTTGCTGATGGTGGTAGAAGAGCTGCAGATAAAGAGCCGTACCTTGTGCAAAAAGCTTGGCAGGCCCCAAGTCTGCAGGCATTACTCACTGCAGTGGCCGACAGCAGGCTGAGGGACTCCACAGAGCAGTGTGCGGAGCACCCGGACAAGGCTGCCCAAAATGCGAACAGTATGAATCCATGAGTGAATACCTGAGTGTGTTATACATTTATGTGCACGAAATTACTTGTTTCATTTTAAATATGCAAGACAGACGACCCCATCTCCCAGAAATTTGAATCAATCCTTCCCTTTCTTCTGGCCATACCTGAGATGAAACAAAAAAGAGCTGGGGGAGGGGGGCTTGAGGGAGTAGTTCAAGTCCCTAACAAGGTGACACCGGTTCTGTGTCTGGACTAGGGTCACAGTGTGAAGATAGTAGATTCTCAACAACTTCTATTGTTACAATGGAAATGTCGGCCAAAGGTTACCAGGTCAAGGAGTGCGACAGGAAATATTCTTTAGGGTATGGGCACGACTTCTTTTTGTTTGCTAAAAATTGTTATCATGATAAGGATTGCGTGGGACCGGTTGACAAAACGATCTTGCATTAGGGCGCGCGCCCCTTGGTCACCCACACCCAAGCGCCCCACCAAGAGCTCAAGGGTTGGGTGAGCTCCCCGATGCAAAGGAACTAGAGCTCTGCTCTTCCAGAAGGGGACTGCAGGCCTGGAAGAGTGAGGTCCCCGGTGCGGGGCAGGTGAGCATGAAGAAGCTGAAAGGGTCGCGAGCATGCGCTCCCGTCTACCTTGTAGGAGCGCGCAGCACTGGCCGTCCGCGGTGCTCCAGAGGCGGGCCGTGCCGTCCTCGCTGCCCGTCAGCAGGCGCTGGCCGTCGGGGCTCAGACTCAGCCAATTGATGCCCCCGCTGTGGTCCGCACAGACCCTCAACGCCGACCCGCTGCTCCCCATCTCGGGGTGGGGCTAAAGAGGCGCTGTTGCCGGCTAGATAGCAGTGCTCCAGCGTCCGCTCGTGGTCCTGGTGGGACCAGGACCGAGAGCGGCCATCGTGGGGGGGTCCTGGCACCCCACTCCTGCAAAAGCTCGCGGTATGGCGGGGAACGGAACTCTGACTCTCCACCGGTATCCTCGGCTCCCGCGTCTCCGATGCAGAGCTCCAGGTGAGACCACCCCTCCTCTGAACCGTCTCGGGACACAGGGAGTCCACCTTGCCTCGTGGTGCACCCGCCGGGTCTGAAGCGCGCCGAAGAACCCGAGAAGCGGAGCGCGGAACAATACATTCCAGCCTAGCTCCTCCTCAGAGACCACCCCTCAACCTGTCCCCTCCCACTTCTCCGGCCGCGCGCCAACCCCCACCCCTAGACGCCCTAGACGTCCTTTGGGAACAGACCTGGGATGCTACTCTGGTCCCCATTTAGGGGCCGCTTCCACGTGCTTCACGTGCGACCCTTCCAGCTGTTTACGCTGGATTCTGCCTTGCCACTCCAGCTGTCCCTATTCCCTGAGCCCGGGACGAGGAGGCGGTCTGGAGTCCCGAGGGACTCCTGGTGAAGGGCGGGGGCTGAGGAGGAAAGGACACACACCGAATTCTACTGGACTGGGCAGGAGAAGGCTGGATCCCGGCCCTTGGGTGTGGGGGACAAGTCCAGATGGGGGAGGTCAGGTTTGCCCCTCCCACATCCATCATCACCCCACCCCCTACGCCCTCAGCTGGGCGCGCGCCTCTGAGGTCCCACTGAGGTCTGGAGGAATCCTACACCCGGCCCACAGCCCTCCCGGAGCTCAGTCGGCTGGTTCCCATTAGAGCAGTTCCGGGTGTCGACTTTGCTGGGGGGCGGGGAGGGTGACCCCCCCACTCGGATCCTCCAGGTCCTAAAGGTAGCAGGGTTTCTCGAACCCTCCAGGGCTGTTTTTGGAGTTCGAGAGGCAGGAAAGAGATGGATTTAGGGAGCCAGCCCTCTGGATCATGAGATGACCTGTCCTGCCCACTCTGGCTGATCTTGTTCAGTTCCAAGAAAGCCCCAGAATGGGTTCTTTGGAACAGTCGGCTTTATTCCCCGAGGGGCACAATCAAATAAATGCATTTTTCCTCCCCTGAAACTTTCAAGTCAGCTTAGGAGACTTTCTGACGCTGAAGAGCCAGCAGAGGGTGTTAAACAATGCTTTGATGAGATATTAAGTATGGAGGCAGGAGACTGCTGGCGACCACAGAAAGGGTAAAGGACTCAGGAGCCAGAGTGACTCTAGGGGCCTATCCTGAGTTCATCTGGTACCTTAACTTTTAGAGGGCCTTTGCCTCATCCAGTTGTGAAGACTGAAGACCGCTGGGTAGCCGGCTGCACAGGTGAGGTCAGGGGGCATTGTAAAGGAGTTGGGGGGCAGCCAGGGCTAGGTAATGTGAGCATATTCACAGCTCCCAGAGCCTGCCCAGTAGTGGGTCAGGCAGGACAGCCACCTTGGGGAAAAGCAGCCTTCCAAGGGGTCACATGGTATGAGCAAAATGGAACTCGCACACTTCTGGTTTGCCCACCAGTCCCCAGGAAAACAGCGGTTTGCTTCCTCAGCCCCCAGCCTGCAGAGGAGGCAAATGCTATCAATCCCAGAGCCCACAGATCACAGTCTGCTGAACTCTGCCTGCTGCTCTATCCAAGATGAAGCGTTGGTGTCCTTGCTCCCTGGAATCCTCACGGCTGGGCACTTCTGTGGATGTTAGAAGTGAGTTCAAGGTTGCGAAGAAAAAGACCACCATTCCGACTGAAGTGTGTGGACCAGGCAGACTTCACTCTTGATCAGCAGGTGGGAGCTGTGTCTTTTTTCCAGTGACTGAGGTTGTTCTAGTCCGTGAAGATTTGAATCATGGGACATGCAGAAAGAAGGAAAGGGGTCATTGCTCCAAGCCATCAAGTTCACAGTGTATATAGATCAGGGGCCTTTAAGTAGACAAAAGTTTTACTGGGTGGAGAGGATTAGAATATTTGCATAAAAGTCTAACAAGGTGGGGAAATAAAAATATCTTAATTCCTTGTCCTAAGTACAAGTTTTATAGTATTTGGTAGAAAAGGCTCATATTTGATGTGTCTTCCAGTGGAGTTGAGCACCATGAATGAACTTAATTTCTCAGGGAAGATCTGTACCCAGTGACTGTGTGGTTGTGTAGTTACTATGTTGTCTGGGGTCATGTCTCTGCCCTTTTCCTATACAGAGTAACTGGAAAATCCAGCAAGATTTTCCTGGAGACAAGAGCGTTCGACACGGCATCCAGTTCCTCTGAGCCTGGAGTCTTCTCCGCCTAGAAGCAATAAAGCTTGAGCCCCAGAAGCCAGGTTAGGCTGCAGCACATCTGACAGCAGCAAAAACCGGTGTGAGTGTGGTCCCAAGCCGCCAACCCCCGCAGGAACCTAAACACTGTGTGCTCTGAGAGCTAACCATTTGCCCGGTGTAAAGCACCATAAAAAGAGGATGGGGAAAGGCGGAGGGAGGGGGCAGTCACATCCAAGAGGCAGAAAGAAAAGTCAGACTGTTCAGAAGAACCCCAGCATCAATGGAAGTGACCATCTGGTCCCAGGGAGTGCCCATCCCTAAGGCCACACAGATGGCAGCAATGTCCACCTGTTGGGAAGACTGACCCTCTGAGGACTCTATGAGAAACATCTAGAATGGTGATGTTCTCAGGATGGGAGGTAATAGAGGGAACCACCTTTTGGGGTCCCTGTCGTGAACACACAGTGTCATAAACATAAAGGACACATTTGTGTCTTCCCATAATGTCCGAATGTATTGAATTGCAATAAACTCACTCGGTTGCAATTTCAGTGGGGCAGTTTGCCAGATTAGCCTCCCAACACACTCTCCTCGACAGTGTGGGACGAGACAAACACGGGCTTTTGTCCCAGTTTCAATTATTAATGTTAACTTTCAGATTATGTAATACACATCGTGTGTGTGTGTGTGTGTGTGTGTGTGTGTGTGTGCACGCACATTTACATAGGTTACAGAATGGATGCAGAAGGGTTAAAGAGGCAAGAGTTTCGAGGAGGCCTGAGATACCAAAGCTGGGAAACTGATAGCCATGCTGACTGTGTGGCGTGAGATATCAAACTCTCTCCGGAGCTGTTATTGTAGCTGCAAGGCCAGAGCTGAGCTGTAGAGCTGAGCCCAGCTGTGGCTGTGACAGGGCAGGACTGGGCACTGAGTCACTAAAGGCTGTCGGTCGAAGGACAGCAGATCCAGAAGGATGGACACCACGACAGAGAGACCAGAGTAGGCTGTGTCAGCAGAGGGCTTGAGCTGAGCTGAAGCCCTGGTGCAGGGAGCAGCAGGAGTCTCTGCACATCAGGAGGCCAGATGCCAGTTCCCAGTGACGAGTTATACCTTTTTCTTGTGTGTTCAATAACTTCTAGGGCCTGGTTTTCCTGACGTGGCTTTACTGTGTTGCTCAACAGTACTGCCTTACCCCATTAGACTCATACAGTGGCCCTGTCCCCAACCAGAGTGTCATTTTTCAGCGTGTATCTCATGGGTTATGCCAGCAGATACACAGTCATCCTCCCTTTGAAATGGAGCTCAAAAGGATGGAATCTTTCAGGTCAAGGCAAGTCCGAAAAGCCATTGTTTTACATAATATGGACTAATTTAGGGCAGGGCCCAGCTGGATCTCAACAGACCCACAGGGTATTGTTACCTGTTAGCCTTGTGGCAACTATTCTTACTCTTGTGGTACCAGATGCCTTACTGGGAATGAAAAGAACCAGTCACCATCATCTTCTCTGAGTACTGACTGTGTTCCATGTACTGTGCTAAGTACTAGTTTTTTCAAGGAGATGGAAATTTTCCCTGTTTGTGAGTTCTTCCCCGCAGGAGAGCTCAGGGCCTCCAGAAGGATGCCCCTCTATGGTTCCCACCAGGCCTAAAGTGCAGGAGCCAAGAAATATTCTAGAGACGGGGCTCACGGCAGCACAGAAGTTGTCTGGAGAAAGGCAGGAGACAATTATTATAATAAAATGTCAGGGATGGCTACATCCTCCTTTCGAAGTAACATCTCAAGGCGCCTGTGACTGTCACCATAAGGACAGTCCTGTTGATGGGTAACAGTGCTCAGGCAAGGGCCTAGGGAGGGAGGATTGTAATAAGATAAGGATGGTGTCTAACGATGGAGGATGCAAAGTACTTGGACCTCTTTCATAAGGATGGGCTCTGTTCGCTGAGAGCCAAAGCTCAGAATGCGGGCCTAGAAAATGCTCACGATTGGGAGGATTCGGGATGCACAGGATAGTAAAATGACTGTCAGTGTATTGGACAACATCCACTCCGGCATTCTGGGTGAAAAGACAGCATTTCCTTTCCTTGGGAAAAAAAAGTCGGGTGGTGATGGCCGAACAAACCTCTAATCCCAGTTCTTAGGAGGCAGAGGCAGGCAGATCTCTGAGTTTGAGGACAGCTTAGTCTACAGAGTGAGCTCCAGGACAGGCAGGGCTGCATAGAGAAACCCTTTCTCAAAACAACAAGAGAAAAAGTCCATTCTCCTTCCTATGGCCACTGATGGCCCTTCTGGGCAGGAGAGCATATGGGCACAGGGTTGGATGTCTAGTCTGCACATGCGCAGGACTCTCTGTGGTCACCCCACATCCGGCCCTGGAATGTCAGCCATTTCTAGGTCTCTGACCAGGGCTGTGTTCTGTGGAGAGCAAGCCAGCTGGCAAGCCTCCCACCACCCACCCCAGATTCCCCCTTTATCTTCTGCAGCCTCTTCCCAGGGATTTCCGAGAATGCAGCGCTGACTCCGCAGAGGGCTGCAAAACTCCCAGCACATAAGCTCTGCTCCCATTTCCGGCCAAGAGGGATTGACAGGGACCTGTCTGCCCTCCTCCTGCTACCCAAAGAACCAAAGCCAGACTCACAGAACAGTTGTTTTCAAGACATAAGACATTCGGCGATGGAGGACAGTAATCCCAAAGGATGGGGAAGATGAGGTCCAGGCTACCACTGGGCTGGCTTTCTGCCTTGAGAGACTTCCAGACCACAGAGCAGGAACGGGGACCCTGCAGGGGACTTCCTGAGTGGGGTAAACAGTATTTGGGGCAGCGAGGTGGCTGCTGTTGGTAGGACAGAGCAGTGAAGAGAGAACCCCACGAGCATGTTTCAGGCCCCAGGGTCCCGCTCCCGCAGCCATTATTAGTTACATTCCATATGCTTAAAATTCTAAGGGCCAAGGATGTGCTCAGAACACTCGAGGCTCCAGGTTCAAACCCCAGAACCCCATCCTTCCTCTTTCCTGAAAACACTGAAAATATTGCAGCAGTCCCCAACTGAACTAGAGATGGGGCAGGCCTTTAATCCCAGCCCTTGGAATACAGAGGCCAGCCTGGTCTACAGGATGTATTCCAGGACAACCAGGGATAAACAGAGAGACCCTGTCTCAAAAAAAAAAAAAAAAGACAAAACAAAACAAAGATGTCTGAAATTAAGCAACAACCCTGGATGGGGTTGACACTTGATTAGATGTAAAAGAAGAACGTGAACTCAGAGACAGTACAGTGCAGACCTCAGGAAATGAGACATACTTGAAAAAAAATGCAAAACAATACCAGTGACCTAGAACAACTTCAACCATTGTGAACTGTGTTACCAGAATCTTAGGAAAGAGAACAGAGAGAGAGAAAACAGGAATCAGTGGTGGCAAATCCAGAAATCAAAAGATCTCATTGAACCTCAAGCACAAGAAGCCAGGAAAATAGGCCAGCAAAATGGCTTAGCAGGTAAGGGGACCAGCCACCAAGCCTGAGGTCATGAGTTCAGTCCCTGGGACTCACATGATGGAAGGAGAGAACTGACTGATGTCCACTCACAGACACAGACATAAATACAGACAGGACTGCAGCTGCAGAGATGGATCATCTAGTACAGCATTCACTGCTCTGCAGAGGACCTGGGCTCGGGCCCCAGCGCCCATGTGATGGCTCACAACTCCATCCAAGCTCTAGTGCTTGGTCTGAGGTTGCCTTCTGACCTCCATGGATACTAGGCATGCACACAGCACACATACAAACATGCAGGTAAGATATTCATACAATAAAATAAATGCATAAATAATATTAATTAGTCTTGCAAGATGGTTCAACAGGTAAAGGCACTTGCCACCAAGCCTGGAGACCTGAGTGCAGTCACTAGGGAACCACAAGTTGTTCCCTGACCTACACATATTGTGCCATGCACATACCCACCTCCAAAATGAGTAAATGGGTTTTGTTTGTTTGGTTGGTTGGTGGTTTTTGTTTGGTCTGGTTTCCCAAGAGCCAGGGCTTCTGTGTGTAGCCCTGGCTGTCCTGGATCTTGCTCTGTAGGTCAGGCCAACACAGAGATCCCCCTATCTCTGTCTGCCAAGTGCTGGGATTAAAGGTGTGAGCCACTGCCATTTGGCCAAAGTGAAATGTTTTAAATTTTAAATAAAGTCTTTTAAAATGTTTTTATGCTACATGGTACAGATGAGGCTTGTGATGCACACCTGCAATCCTGGGGCTGCAGAGACAGAGATCCCTTATACATTGAGCAGCTGACCAACGTAGTGAGTTCCAGGCCTGCTGGGGCTACACACCGAGACCCTGTCTCAGTAAGAAAAGGAGACGTGAAACCCTCACCACAATCCAGAGAACAGACTAGTGACTTTCAACTTATTCCTTCTGAGTTTTTGTTTGTTTGTTTTGTGCACATCTGCCAAAATATATCCAAATTCCATCCCAGGCAAAGTTGTCCCACCCTCACACGTATGGTAGGGCTTCTGGTTTGAAGGAATATGTGTGAGAGAGTGTGCGCCAGTGTGCACATGGAAAGCTGTTAGTGTGTGAGTGTTCATGTATGTTCATGCAAAGTGAGAATGTGCTTGTATGCTTGAATGCATGAATGCCGTGAGTGTTCTTGTGTGCACGTGGATGGTTTGTGGGTGGGTGTGTGCTTCTTGAGAGTGTGAAAGCATGTTTGTGTGCACATGTGCATCTGAATATCAGTGTGTGTTTATGTGTGTGACCATATGTGTGTAAAGTCATATGTGTCTGAGTGGGAGGGACTAGGAGGGAGCCCTGCAAACTGCATCTGCTTTTCCTCATTCCAGAAGCTCTCACTGCCCACAGAACAAAGCTGCGGCTTGCTCCCTGTGGGGGCTCTGAGCAGAGCTTCATGCTGCTGGGCTGCTCAGCCTCCACAGGCATTCCCCCCTGTGCTCAGGGTCCTCTCTGCTAGGCCTTAGAGTCACCACCACCACAATACTTGTGGCTCAAGGCATCACAGACTTGGGGGGTAGCAGCAGAAAGCTGAGCAGGGACAGGGACAGGGCTTTAGGAGGCTACCTAGGGCAAGCAGGAGAGTGTCTGGTGACATAGAGGATAAGGGAAGGAGACCATCAAAGCCTAGCATGGGTGCTGGGAGCCAAACTCCCAGCTTCGGCATGAGCAGTCTGCTCTTACCTGCTGAGCTGTCTCTCCAGCTCTGGTAACTTTCATATTTGATAGAAAATTTTTAGGCTCTGTGATCTACAGCAGAGTTTTTTGATTTTGTTTTAAATTTTGTGTGCCCACATGTATATGTATGCTATGTGCATGTTCATATGGGTACATGTTTGTGTGCGTGAGTGCCAGAGTACACATACACATGCCACAGCACATGCGTGCAGGTCAGAGGACAATGTCAAATGTTGGTGCTCCCCTTCTGTCTTGTGCTGTATAAGTCAGACCCCTTGGAAAGCTTTGGAAGCTTTCTCTTCCTCTGCCACCCATCTCCCTGGAGGAGTGCTGGGTTACAACTGCAAAGAGTCTAGCTTTTG